ATCGACAAAGGATGTCTCCTAACAAAAAGCTGGGTAAAAGCTGAGAGAAATTTTTTCTCTGCTCTGTCCCAGCAGCGATTAGTGGTATCATTTTTTCAACTGATATCCTTTTTTGGGTGGAAAGAGCTGTCAAGCATGGTTTTGTCTCTATATCTCGAACTATATCTCGGGTTATTGCTGCAAGTATTGCGTAAAAACCTTTTTTAAAACATTGCTAGTTAATTAATTCAAATAATTAACTCAGAACATGAGAACTTCAAATTGCTTCTTTGTGAGTTTGGATAGTTTGTTAATCAGCGCTTATTCGGTCTGTTTTTGCCAGCACTTTTTCGGTTGGTATCCTGACTGGCTGTCATTCTCGATGATATATTGCTGTGCAAATCCCTGACTTCTCTTGACGCTCCCCTGGATGGAACTGGTCTAAGTGGAAACGCACCCAGTTGCGTGGGTCTCGGAATGAGTACTTTTTCTATGTCTTTAATCAATGCCTCATGTCCTGCATTCATCTCGTGAGTCAACATTCTAGATGTCAGATCTTGCTGAGATGTGATAGATACTTTTATCATTTCCTTCACTCGTTCTCGAAGAGTGAGTTTATCGGCTTCTGAAATTGGCAAAGATTTCAACTGAGATGTCAATGTCCGTCTGTCCGATTTCAGTTCATCGACTTCCTCGGCAAATTTTTCGCTGATGTCTTTTTCCTGTTTTTCGATCTCGCTGATTCTGAAGTGGTATCCGTAAATCTTGTCTGAAATTCCGGTCGAGAAATCAGGAGGAGGTTCAATAGTCTCAATGGTTTCCTCGATTTCTTTTTTGACCACTTTGCGAGGCTCTGTGGCTGCAAATTTGTAAAGAGAGAAATGTTGGAGTAATGTAATCGTTACATATTCGGATAGAATGGTGCAGCATCTCGGAGTTAGTTCTGATTGAGCAGAAATCAACTCTTTTTGGTAGTCGGCGATGATATGTGTTAAACTTGTTTCTTCGCTGATGGAATCGTAAAGATTCAAACATATTTGAATGCTTGTATTTTTCTGGTCCGTGGTGAATCCGCGATCTGTGCAATATTCCCGGCAGTCTGACTCAAGAAGTTCCCGTGAGCCACTTTTGATATCTTCGTGGTCGTAATCGATTGTCATGCTTTTTTTGTTGTCTTTTTTAATCAAACCAAGACTGAAAGGTTCGAGAGTGGTTTCTCGGTATTTCAGTTTTGAAGCGCAGGTAATGTATTATTTAAATTTTATTTTGTGTCATTTTTTATTCGATCAGTTGGAATTGTGCTACTTGTAAAACGGTGCTGTGATTCCTGCACGTGCGTTTGAAGCGTTTCAATAATGGCTCAAAACCATTGACTGAAAGTCTGTTGTTGTGTCTAATTGTTTCTGTACATATTTTACTAGCTCGCGTAAAATAAAAAATTTGATGCACGGCTGTCCTTGCTTTTCAAGACTGAAATGGACGTTTGTGTTTATGGTTTCAGAAAATGGAACCAATTGATTTTGATTTGACAATTTTGAGACATGGGCAGACTAAATCAAACAAATTAGGTAGGATCCAGGGAATTACAGACGAGCCCTTGGACCAGCAAGGAATTATTCAAGTTGTGTCTCCTATTAGATATTGAACTTAATCTGAATTTTGAGAGTTTTTATCGTGTTAGGTTTCCACAGCCTTCAATTAACGGAAGAATTATAAAATTCAAAGCTAGTAATCAGTGGAAAGAAATGGAATTTTTAGTATGAAATTCAAAATGTTTCAATGTATAACTACAACTTAAATACCTTCGAAGGCGACGAAACAGGGTCGACTGTTGAGAAAAGGCCTATTTGATTTTGCTTTCTCCAGCGATCTCAAATGAGCTAATCTGACTTGCAAATTAGTACTCTCTCAGAAAGATTACGAAGATCCAAGCTTTGCAGTCCCTTGTATAGAGAAATTTAAATGTCTGCGTGAGCGGGATATAGGCGAAGCTGAAGACGCAACGCTGGCAGGTTGGTGCCAAATGGCAGCAGCTGCCAATTTGGAACCGCATAATTTTGTCGCAACAGGCGCCGAGTCGTTCACAATTTTGTCCCAACAGGCGCCGAGTCGAATTCTTCCTATGTTCACATTCATGTTTTGTTTTAATGTTCGCTTCCTAAAGCATAATTTTTATATGCATCTCTGGGATAGAAAAAAATGGATCCAGTTTTCTTAATTTCTTTCTCAAGTTGTTCGATGCCTTTACCATTGGCGAGCGTTATCTAATTAGAGTCTGCTTTTTTCAGGACTTGAGTCACAAAATCGTGACTTGAATCATTTGATAGCTTGATTTATAATCTTTTTCCCGGCTCTCCGGTACACAAGAGATTTAGTGTTGATGACTACGCCTGGGACAGCGAGAGTCACCGTTTGAATCCGCCAAGCACCTGTTTGTTCTTCAAATTGAAAATATACCGTTTCAAAAAAATGGCGGCCTATCGTTGGTCTGATTATGCTTAGTCGGCAACGTTGATACATTATGATTTTTTCTTCTGCTACAATTTTAATTGTAGTTGCAAGTGTTTTCAATCAAGCCTTTAGTTTGTAATATTACTAGCCCCGTCTTCAAAAATTTCCCTGCTTAAAAACTCTTTTCGCGTTAAAAAAGCGAAAGCTTCAAATGGCTTAAATGGTTTCATTTCATGTTTTATCGGCTTAGTGGGCTAAGCGTCGTTTGATAGTAAACATAATTCCCCTCCAGAACTACACAATGATAAGATTAATTGGTTTTTGTTCAATTTCTTTATTTAGTTAGCTAGGGTATCTAGAGCTCAAACTATTGTATGTATAATTATAGAGTTTTGATATTAATTTTCGGCTGATGATTTTTGAGCTTTATGGTTGTCGACTTAAGCCCTGTCGGTTTAATTTCCAAATAGCATTTTTCTGTTTTGCATTCGCTACTGATATATCTATCATGGATCCTATCTGGGTGTTATAAGAACTTTTTCCATATGTTTTTTGACGAAAGTTTTCGGCTGAGTTTCAGCTTATTGGATGTCGGCTTCAATTCTGTCGGCTTATTTACCGATTTTTTTCCTTAAAATGTAATATTTTTGAGATTGATAAGACTCTGGCACCAATTTTTGATTGCCGAATTCAACCCCACTAGGACCTCCTTAAAAAACTTCAAACACGAAAAAATGTTTTTTTTTAAAAATATTTTTATCGTTTTTCCACTTCCTTCAATTGTATGCTGCTCTCATCCTATAATTGTTGTATCGCAAGTGGTGCGACTCAGCTTTGACTGTGTTCAATTTGGATTTCAGTTTCATTCAACTGCGTAGGCTCATGGATAGGAAAATATGGCGGTTTGAAATAGGACGATTCAATATGGCTATGGAAAAAAGATTTTTTTTTGGTAAAAGGGTTTTCAACTGAACAACAATCGCCCAGTATTCGATAAGTGTCTTACTTAGGGAGTTTTCATATAGTTTAGAACTGATTATGATTTGAATAATTTGGTTGTCGGACTTTGATTGTCTGCTTATGTTTTTTCTTGTGCAGTGAGCAATTTTCTTCGTTGGTGCAATTATTTTTAATTTATCCTATAATTTAAAAAAATATTAGCCCTGACATCGTACAATTTTTTGTTTTGTTTTAAAGCTTCATTCGGCCTAAATGTTTTAGACATACAATTTATCGGCTTAGTTACCATTATTTGTGTCGCTTCAAGGGAAAATGACTGATTAAAAAATCAGGAAGTTTGTATTGCAAAAGTTCAATTTTTAAAACTTAATTGCTCAAAAAATGTTTTATGGTAAGACTTTCTGATGGCGTTTTTTCGACTCAATGAGCAGCTGTTTATGGCTCCTTAAAAAAATAAAACTTATTTTCTGCTGTTTTGTGTTTCTGGACTATTGTTCTGAATTTTTTTAATATTCATTGTTCCCAAATTATGTAGATTTTTTTTTTCGTTTTCGTTATTTCGTCTGATTTTGCATTGGCTAGCTTGCAATGCTGTGCCTGCGTTGTATTGAAAGTGATGCCAAGCTCTGCTTTGCCTTTTATTATTATGTATAAAATTCGATTCTACTTAAAAGGTTGACTGCGGGTGACTTACCAACAACTCTGGTTTCAATTTTTTTAAAGTCTCATTCTAGGGCATCAATTTCTCCGGTCGTTAACCCATTTTTTGCATAGTTACCGCTTTATAAATAATGCGCTGTTGCCAGGCTACTGCAGGAAATTGTGTTTTTAACATGTTTCTTGTAAGATGGATTTCTTTCGGGACAAATCGTGATATGAAAGTTTCGGTCGTTTTTCCCTAAACAGTTTTTCTTTGAAATTCTTGCTGCTCAATTTGGCCACTGCTGCTCAGACATGCTCAATATCTTGAAAGTTCGAATAAAACTACTTCTTAGTTGATTTGAGATAGCAATTAAGATTTAGAAATATGTTCGTTCACAAATATATTTGTTTTTGGATTTTCCGTTTTTTTTATCCAAATGCAATTTAAATTATCTGGTACGCTTTTCAAACTATTTTTCAGCGTGACCCCTAGCCTATAGCTTCAGCGTGGCTCCTAGCCGAAAATTTCGGTTCACGTAGTTTTTTCAAGTCGAAATTTTTTTTAAAATGTTTTTTTTTTATGTTTGTTTTATCGCAAGTGGTGCGAAGCTTTGCCTCGCCTCTGTGTCTATAGACGTTAAAGGGCAGTTAGAAAATTCATAGCTTTTCACTGATTCGAGCCATCTTATTTTTAATTTAGGCTCAAAATTTTAAGCATGGCATTTTGAAATTCTATGATAAAATACTTAATCTGAATTTTGTTAAATTTTGATACAACCTAAATTTAGCCTTTAAATTTCCAGCAAGTTCATATTTCAATCAATTATTCGGCAGTATAAAACGTGAGTTAGAACTGGCTCTCAAATTTGAGCTGTCCAACTATTTATCTAGTTTGTGTGTATATATGCTGCAATTAAAAATGGAATTTATATTTTTTCAGAAATAAATTTGGATTTTTTTTCAGATGTTATGGAACCAATTGTTTTTGATTTGACGCTTGTGCGACACGGGAGAACCGATGCAAACAGACAGGGCATAGTTCAAGGACATGTAGACACGCCCCTAGATCAACTAGGGATTATTCAAGTTGTTTTTGCTTTGACACGCGAGAATTAGATACTAACAAACTCCCTAAAATTTTGCTTAAAAAGCTTTGAAGTTGAACGATGATCGATATTTTTTCAATTTTAAAGCATATCAAATGATTTTCAGATTAAGTCAAAATTTCCACTGAAAAAATGTTCTTTTAATTTAAGGGCACTGATAACGCAACCCCCACTCGCGCCTCGTAGTTGAAGGGGGGTTGTAGAAGAGCCAGTGGGCCTTTTTAAGAAAAAACATTGCAAAATGGCAAAAAAAATTTTTTGGCCTAAAAGATGGATGCAAAAATCCTTTGTTTTGGTGGAGAAAAATTCGAAATTCGCACTCAGTAATTTATTGAAATTTCAATTATCATTTTACATCGCAGGGTGGATCTAGGATTTTCTCGAGAGGGGAGGATTTTCAAAATTAGTATATATTGGCGCCAAAGGCCCCTTTAGAAAAATTTTAGGGTCGGTCGGCCAAAATGGTTTTCTTAAAAAATACCACAGGGGGACCCTTTGGCTCGGCAAGGGGTCGAATCCTTGAGGCAGAGAGCGTCCGCAACCCTAGCCTCCGCCCTAAATCCGCCCCTGGTACATCCTTAGTAAAAATGAATAATAGTGGTAATTATAACTGGTGATGAATAATAGTGTCAATGAACAAAGTCTTTTAATTTTGTTCGGGATCCTTAAGTTCAAGACACTTTTCTAACTCTCTGTCGGCTATATTTTTAATTTTGTAAACGTGGAGAGGTAGATGCTTTGAGTTTTGTAAAATAGGATATAAAATATATAATCAAACAAGGATACGCTTAACAAGTTGAATGATGTCCAAGGCAACGAGACTGGGTCGACTTCTGAGTAAAGACCGATTTGACTTCGCTTTTTCCAGTGACCTAAAAAGAGCCCATCTTACATGTCAGTTAGTTCTTTCACAGCAAGTTGAAGATGATCAGAGTAAGATGTCTCCTGTCGTGCGGACGCTGAAATGTCTCCGTGAACGAAGTTACGGTGTAGGCGAAAACCTGAGTTTCTCGCAATACTATCAATTGGCGGCAGATGCCAACCAAGGAACTGCATATGATTTTGTACCCGAGGGAGGAGAGTCACTGTCGCAACTACAGAGTCGGGCGAAAGAGTTTTTGGAGATAATGTACAATTATGCCACGACTGGAAGCGGCGACGAGCTGTTCGAGTAAGATGCTCAGTTTCTCGCCAGAACTTACTTACTGGGGTTTTTAATGTTTTTACTTACATTAGTTTTTGATTAGTTCAGAAAAACCAATGAGCGCAAATTGAAGCGAAGTTTCAAATAGCTTACGATCAATTGACCTACTTTTTTGACCTCTAACTTTTGACTTCGTTGGATTTCATTGAACCGCTGTTACCTGTTTTTTTTTATAATCGGGTTGTGATGTAGAAAGTTATACACAAACTGGGGGTTTTGAGTATTACTGTTTTTGCCTAGAAATTGCAAAGAAGAATCTACAGGACCAAGTGAGAAATTAACTCAGGCTCTCGACTCGTTATCAGATCATGATAAAATGACTATAGCGCACACTGTTCTGAAGGAAACGCCGTTTTTACCTGAAAAATCTTCCCAGCAGTCGATTTCCTGTATCATAGCTAGTCACGGAGGATTCATCAGGGAATTCATGAAGCTAGTCACCTGTGGAAATCCCAGCGAAGATGTAGTGTCTCCTGAATTTAAGAAGCTTCTGATCAACAGTCCGGCAAATACATCCTTCACTCATTTTACTTTGACGATGAATAGTCCTACTGAGTTCACTCTGACCAAGCTGCACTATTTGTATAATGTTTCTCACCTGAACGCAAAAGAATAGACTACTTTGTTGCTGTTTTGAAATAAATTATGTATTATATTTGAAATAATTTTATTACCGTCAGATTCTATGTATTTTTAAGATAGAAATTAAATAATTGTTTTAGCTTTGCAGTTGAAAATTATCAAACCAACAGTAAGCCAATGGAGATTGTTCTATAATTTGAATAGTTTTTGCACTTGGGCGAGCAACTGACTTTAATCGGGTACTAGACTATACAACAATCTTTGGACTTGCTTTATTATTGTACATAAACATCCTGGTCTAGAGCTAATGTGGATGCCTTAGCACCCTAAGGTGTGGAGTTCGAATCGCGGCCGAACCTATTTTTGCTAGTACAGCATATGTATGAAATAGATTTTTTTGTGGGGAAACAGGCTGACTTTGGATTGTCTGATCCTTTTTGTCAGCTCAATTTTGAAAGCATGGATTTTTCTTCAGTTGAAAAAATTCCTAATATAATTGACGGTCGTTTTGTTAATTATAAGTTTACCAACTCGGATTTTCAAAATCCGAGTTGTGAACTTTTTGAACATTTTAAGTTTAAGTTTTTTTTCGATCAAATGGTTTCGGTGTTTTTTTTTTATCGTCTAGGTCGACTTATATGACATACTTAGAGAGGTAAAAATTGGTTTTCATAATTTTGAAACCTAATCTCTGAAATGTTTTTATGGAAACAATTTTTATGGCATTTTTTTAACCCTTTTTTAAGGTATTGCAATCGGGGTACCAGGGTTTTTTCCGTAAACAACTTTGTCTCCTTCGCCTCTTCGTCCTATGTTGGTTGTGGTTTTTCCAACTCGATTTGTTAAAAAAAAAATTTTTTGTTTATTTTTGTGTCATTTTTTCGGCTTAATAGGTTTCGGCCTATTAACACTATCGAACTTTAGTGAGAGTTTGTGTTATACTACGAGTACTCTTTTTTTAAAACCTAAGTCGCAAATGTTGATTCCACTTTTGGGGCATCTTAACGGCTTCTTGATAGCATGTGCTTTGACATTCGAATCGTAATAAGTTAGCTCAGTTGATACATTTTTACACAAGCAAAACCAGTGTGATAGTATGAACTTTCTTTTTTCCAACCTAAGTCGCAAATACTAGTGTTCATTTTGAAAATGTTCTTTTGCAGTATTTGCACAAGATCATTAACCAGCTTTTAAGATCAGCCAATTTTAAGGATTTTAACACAGACTGGTATATTACAAGTAAGACTTTAGCTTCAAGGTATCATGGATCTGTAGCGTAGAGGTAGGGAAGGAGACCCGCCACAAAAAAGGAGGGTTTGAACCTGGACAGGGTCGGTTATTTTTAATGAACTTTTCGTATACTTGTTAAAGTGCGTCCGCTCTATAAATTGAGGCATGTGAGTAGTTAAATTTCTTTTTTCGAATTGAATGGTACTGCTAATGCGTCATAATTGGCTTGCGTCACTTAAGAAATTATGAAGACTCAAAGTTTTACTCATTCAGTTTTTCCAAGTAGCGTTGTCGGTCATATTTTTGGTTGTGTATGCGAAGTGGAACTTCGACTTCGTGTAGATTCATCAAACGAACCAAAAAAAGCTATTTGTTTCAAACAACTTAACAATCATACAAACTCGATTTCAGGAATTTTCTAACTGATTATATCTAGCAATTTTTTTAAATGCATAATTATACGATTATGTGTTTTTATGTATTCCAATTTAATACATGCAAAGTTGGTGCCTTCAGTTTGATGTATTCCAATTTATTACTGGCAAAAATTGTATTCATTTGTATTTGGTGCCACTTTTGCTGCATATCATTGGCAATTTGTTAGCATACTTTGCTGCTTCATTTGTGACAAGTGTTTACCGGTTGTTGAGCGTTCGTGGCCGAGAAATTTTGGCGAAGTGTAGAACAAGAAAAGTACTTTTAAATAGACTTCCGTTAATTGAATTTCAGAAAAAATTAAGCGTGGGGGACTTGAAAATTCTCGAGATCGCAGGTTCGAAGCCCATACGTAGCAAAGTTTAACTATTTCGAGGATTTGCTTTTTCGTCGTGTTCTCGCTAGTGTTTGCGAAGCACAGCTTTGCTTCTGTGTTTGTATCGGCTTAGTGGCCTTATTTCAAGTAGTTTCAATGGAAAAATAGTTTTCAAGCTCACCTCTGCATCGCACAAAACGCTAAATATTTAAGTTTTTCCTGAACAATTCTTTTGGGTTTTGTTTTCTTTTTTTTCGGCTTGATAAGTTTCGGCCTATTATACCAGTTTAATGTCCGCATTTCGCGCCTTTCGTTGGTTTGATGGTGAGGGGGACTTAACATCTTATAAGTCTTAAAAAATCGTGAATAGTGGATTTCCCTCTTTTTTCGGGTTAATTACATCGGCCTAGTCGCCTCATATTGCGTCGTTCACGAGCTGTGTATGTGTTATGAGGGTGAAGCGGACTTAATAACTTTTCATTATTCGTAACTTTTTGTCGCTTATGTTTTTTAATTACCTTTGGCCTCATATTTTTGAATTTGACGCGTGAAAAAAGTTTGTAGGTGTGTTTGTTTGTTTGAGAGTGTGAGAGAGTTGAAAATAGTTTTTAAAAAAATTTTGGCCGAAGGGTTTCTGCTAGATTTTGTTACCGCTTGATAACTTTTCTTTCGATGCTAGTTTCACTAATGTCTTGGCTCGTTTTTGTTGCAAAGCTAGCTTGATCGATATTTTTGGTTTTTTTGAAATTTTCAGATTTTTTTTCGACTTAGCGGCATTCTCGTTTTGTATCGCAAGTGGTAAAATTTTCGGCTCAGCAGTCGTCTACCCACGAATTGTGGGCCTAATAGCCACTCGTTAAATGGAAACTTATTCAATGCTGGTGGTTGTGCTTCTTGACTGTTTTCTTTTCGGTTACAATTCGGTTTACATTTTATTCAATTTGCTGATTTCTCTCATTTTTTATTCTCTAGCTTTTATGCTATGCTTGCGTTGTATTGCTAGTGTTGCAACGGTTTGCTTCGCCCCTCTTTCATTTATTTATACAGCATTTTCTACGTTGAATTTCAGCCTACCTTTTTTTGTTTTTGCAAGCCCATCTTCGATTTGCTGTATCAACTTTTTACGCTTTCGAATACCAAACGTTATGAAATCGGAATATAGATCACTAGTTTAACTGCTGTTTGTTTTTATAAGTATATAATTTTCGAGGTATGAATTTGACATATTTAGCGTGGAGGTGACGTGATGTTCATGCTGAAGACGACAAGGATCATGGGGTCCAATTTATCCGAAAAATTTTCCGCATGTCAAAGATCTATCAAACTATCGTTTTCTGCCTTTTTGCGTTTTTCTGCTGTTTTGTTGGTTTATTTGCCGCACAGCGGAGTTTGCTGATGATTTCATAGTTTTTCGCTATTGTTTAAATCGTTTTCAATTTATTAAATTTATGGTGCAAGTAAAATCGCGTTAGAAGAAATATTGCTGAAATTTTCTATGATATTTGATTTGTTGAAAGTATTTTTCTTTCGCACTTGTAGGAAGTTTTATTGATTTTTTTCTTCGCTTACTCTTTTATTTCGAAGAAAGTAATGATGGCAATGTGTCCTAAATTGTTTGAAATTATGATTGTTTCTGGTTACAATAAACTGAAAAGTATATGAAAGTCAGTATTACGAGTTTAAAAAATTTCTTAATGTTTTTCCGCATATATTTTATCCGCCTCATTTGATTTTGTCATGTAGGTTTTTATGAATAGTAGTGTTAGGAGAATAGCTACATCATAATTTTTTTATTAATATAATTTGAAGTTTTTATGAAATATATCGCTGTTTAGGTCATTTTTTTGCGCTGTCATTCTGGTCATTTATAACGCTCTTTTTCTGTCATTATTTTTGTATCGCAAGTGATGCAAGGCTGAGCTTCGCCTCTGCGTCATACTTTTTTCTAAATGTCGCTTGGGCATCTTAGTAGCAGCCTCGCCCTTATGTCGAGATGCGCCAACTAAAGTATATAAAAAGGTGCATGAGTTAAATACAAACGCGAATGATTATTCAAGCAGCAGTTATCAAATAACCGCATATTCTTATATTTTCTGAATAAATAACTTTCAATAATACGTTTTCCAATGATTAAGAGTCGATGAATGTAGTTAAGTTTCTTATATACGTCGTGAGTTAATTTGAGTTCAGCTGAAAATTTTGGCGCTTCAATTTATCAAATGGCGCTTCATATTGTTTGTCGTCGTGCGCATTTTCTTATGTTTGTTTTTAAGTTAGCAATGAATTCAGTTGATTTTGATTTGACTCTTGTGAGGCATGGCAGGACAGATGCAAACAGACGCGGAGTGATCCAGGGGCATGTTGATACTCCTCTAGACTGTCAAGGAATTGTTCAAGTTGTATTTTACATATATTAGGTAGTTTAAAAGGCTTCATTTTTTGTCGAAATTTGGTTATTTTCACTTTCGAGAACAAGTGTACGTGCAATCCGAAATAGATAGCAAGTGTACGTACAATCGGAAATAGACTTTTTTCCTGTAAACAACCTTTCTTACAAATGTGAGGTTACTTTTGTAACCTTCAATTGAGTGCAGCAGTAGAAAGTTCAAATAATCTTGTCGAATTTTTTTTTCAGATTCGTGGTTTTCGGTATGATATGTATAAAATGTATGATATCGGATTCTTAAAAGTCGAGGAACGAAGTTCAGACTCTTTCATAGGTGCTGATGATTTTTTTTCAGGAAAAGGCTTTTTCGCGATTTAAGTGTGATTTCTTTTTAAGTTCACCTTACAGTGAAAGAACAGCGAAGAACGTGATTCAACTTCTAGTTTCGAAAATTGATCTTGAAATTCAGATTTCAGCGGAATAAAAACTTTACCCCAAGATCCAGTTTTCTTCAATTGCGTTAATTTTGTCAAAAAGTTAATCATATTTTGCTCTTAAAATTCAAACAGCCTTAAGGCCATATATTTTTTTATAAATTCGAAAGCTGAAGTTTTTTTGGAAACCTAAAATTCTCAAAAACATCTCGTATTTTCTTTGAGAAACAACCAAGGTTATAGGTGTAGCCCAATTTTTGAATTATTGAAATTACATTTTTCCCGCAGCAGTACAATAATACAAAGAATTATGGCACAGGTACCTCCAGCTTTAGCTAGGCTCACAGTATTTTCGTATGCTTTTGTGTTTCAGGAGAGATGGGTCGTAAAACCTTAGCTTTCCAAAACGCTATAGCTTACAAATGTGAGGTTACTTTTGTAACCTTCAATTGAGTGCAGCAGTAGAAAGTTCAAATAATCTTGTCGAATTTTTTTTTTCAGATTCGTGGTTTTCGGTATGATATGTATAAAATGTATGATATCGGGTTCTTAAAAGTCGAGGAACGAAGTTCAGACTCTTTCATAGGTGCTGATGATTTTTTTCAGGAAAAGGCTTTTTCGCGATTTAAGTGTGATTTCTTTTTAAGTTCACCTTACAGTGAAAGTACAGCGAAGAACGTGATTCAACTTCTAGTTTCGAAAATTGATCTTGAAATTCAGATTTCAGCGGAATAAAAACTTTACCCCAAGATCCAGTTTTCTTCAATTGCGTTAATTTTGTCAAAAAGTCAATCATATTTTGCTCTTAAAATTCAAACAGCCTTAAGGCCATATATTTTTTTATAAATTCGAAAGCTGAAGTTTTTTTGGAAACCTAAAATTCTCAAAAACATCTCGTATTTTATTTGAGAAACAACCAAGGTTATAGGTGTAGCCCAATTTTTGAATTATTGAAATTACATTTTTCCCGCAGCAGTACAATAATACAAAGAATTATGGCACAGGTACCTCTAGCTTTAGCTAGGCCCACAGTATTTTCGTATGCTTTTGTGTTTCAGGAGGGATAGCTTTCCAAAACGCTATAGCTTACAAATGTGAGGTTACTTTTGTAACCTTCAATTGAGTGCAGCAGTAGAAAGTTCAAATAATCTTGTCGAATTTTTTTTTTCAGATTCGTGGTTTTCGGTATGATATGTATAAAATGTATGATATCGGGTTCTTAAAAGTCGAGGAACGAAGTTCAGACTCTTTCATAGGTGCTGATGATTTTTTTTCAGGAAAAGGCTTTTTCGCGATTTAAGTGTGATTTCTTTTTAAATTCACCTTACAGTGAAAGTACAGCGAAGAACGTGATTCAACTTCTAGTTTCGAAAATTGATCTTGAAATTTAGATTTCAGCGGAATAAAAACTCTACCCCAAGATCCAGTTTTCTTCAATTGCGTTAATTTTGTCAAAAAGTTAATCATATTTTGCTCTTAAAATTCAAACAGCCTTAAGGCCATATATTTTTTTATAAATTCGAAAGCTGAAGTTTTTTGAAATCTAAAATTCTCAAAAACATCTCGTATTTTATTTGAGAAACAACCAAGGTTATAGGTGTAGCCCAATTTTTGAATTATTGAAATTACATTTTTCCCGCAGCAGTACAATAATACAAAGAATTATGGCACAGGTACCTCCAGCTTTAGCTAGACCCACAGTATTTTCGTATGCTTTTGTGTTTCAGGAGGGATGGGTCGTAAAACCTTAGCTTTCCAAAACGCTATAGCTAAAATTTTTTATGACAACAGTTTTGATTCCGACTTAACGGTGCTCGACTCGTTTTTTGACTTACTTGTCGCTCGATAAATGTTTCGCATTGTTTTTTTTAAGGATGTTTTTGAATTTTGTCCGAGACAGAGGTATGAATTTTTGACTTTTTTCAAGTAATTTTTTTATGTTATAAAATTTCGAGTTCCGTCTCTTTTTCCATTCACTATCTTCCATGTAATGTTTTTGTTTTATCGGAAGTGTTGCGAAGCACTGCTTCGCCTCTGTGTTAGTGTTATAACTTGCTTTGTGAAAACTAGTAAAGATGAGAGATCGCCCGCAAAAAATTCTTTGTCAAGTTTTCATTTCACCTCGCTCAAGTTGTGTCGTGTGGTTTTTTTTCTAATTTTTCTTGGGAAGAGTCTTCTTTCAAATTTGATTTTTATGTTCGATTTTTCATAGCTTAAGTTCAACTTGGGTTTGCTTTCATTTCAAATTCATGGATCTCTTTTCAAATTTTGTTCGTGCCTAAGAATCTATCCGCCCTATACGTATTAAAAATAAGTAAAAATTCAGACGATTTATCCACCAGAAAAAGGAACTACCTGCGAGCTTTTGAGCTCTTTTCGGAGAACCTCTGTTGTGTCCCTGCTTAAGAACTAAATGCAATTTTTGGCTATTTTCTGGGCTGGGCAATGATGCTTCATCTTCAAGCTACGAGCGCAGATCATGGTCGGCCTCGAACATCTGGCCTTTTAATTGAGAGGCGGAGATGTAACCACTTCACCTCCTCTCCCCTTATGTATTAATTTTAAACACGTTCCTTGTAAATTAGGGTTTTCTAAAATCTAAGTTCTAATAAGAAATTGCCATTGATTTTATGCAGCTAATTTAAGAAGTGAAATTTTTTTTTTGCATTTTTAAGTGCATTTTGTTCGTATTAATTTTTGATCTTTCTTCAATATCGTTTTCGGAATGAAATTTTAATTTTCGAAAATGGAAAAGCAGGGAGAGTAGTTGAATTGATCGAACTTCATTTTAGAATTGTTCTCTCCAATAACAAAATTTTAAATGGCGCAAAAATTGTGATGGACTTATAGTTTCAGAGTTGATTTTGATTTTTTTTCGATAGTAAAGTTTTCAAGTGTCCTTAAGATCCAGTTTTCTCAAAATGGGTTTGTTTTAATCAAAAAAGGTGCCAATTGTGTCCGATTCTGGAGCTCTAAGAGCCTCAAAGTGATATATATTTTACTTGGCAACTCGAAAGTGGAAATTTTTGGAAAAAATTGCATTTTCTGTCTCCCTGAGTGAATCGACATTTTTCAACTGTCTTTGACTTATATTTATATTTTTTTTGTTCATATTCATACCATTATATAGTCTTCAGTTTTATTTGAATAATAAGGCACTGTCAAAAGTAAATTAGTGCCTATCGAAAAAATAACTTCATTTAACAATGATAGTATTTTATTGGCTAAATTTTTTCCGATCTAGGGGAGCTTTTTTAAAAAAAAGACTTCGTGTATTATTCTTAGCTATCTAAATGAAAGAGCCTCGAAAAGAGTGTATGTTTTTCTGCATTTAGCTTCGAGCCTTTTCATTTTTTGTAATTTTTTTGACCAAGTTTTAAAGGTTTTGGGAAATTAACTGCACGATGAAAAGTTTAGTTAATTTTCAATTTAGAATCAGGATAGCCGGTTGATATGCAAGTAGCATAGAATGTTCCGACCATATTCTCAAAACTACAAAAAAAGTTTTTTTATTAAATTTAATTTCAGTTTTTCTTGCGCGTGGAAGACCAATGACTAATAAAAAACGTCCTAATAAGTAGTAAGTACTAAGAAAAATAACTTATAAAAATCAAAAAATTAAGTTTTTCAATTTTTTTTGCAGAGGTGTTTTGATTTTTTTGTTCCCAAGCTAAAAAGAAACTTTTAAAACTTATTTTACTAGATTTTTTATACTTGAATGGAAAATCCATGGTTTATGTACTATAAAGCCTTCTATTAAAAGCCTGCTCTCTCGCTCGAAAGAAGCGAAAAATCAAAAAAGTTCAATCCTGTTTATCTCGGCTCTGGGAAAAATTTTTTGGAAATTTTTTATGTCTCGAATCACGACTGAAAGGAGTTTTAATATGATTTATCACTCGAGCCAGTTCGATGATCATTTATACGATTTATCACTCGAACCAGTCCGATAATCTGATTTGCGTGGAAACAAAAGAAAAACTACAAAACACCCAAATACCCAGTTCCTCCCCTTTTTCAATGGTGAGATCAAAAAAGCCGTCCTTCTGATTTTGTACAATACGGATATGGATCAGCATACAAAAATTATTTATTGCTCAGGTGTTTAAAAAAGCGTTGTAACCAATGAATTCACATGCACGAGAAATGTTTAAAAAATGTATAGAGTCCGTGAAATTGGTGATCGTTTTGGGGGGAAATGTTAAACACGACAAACTTTTTTCTGGTATTAGCATTTGTAGTGTGGTTTAAACTAGAAATATAGTTCAGCTAAAAAGATAAGTTAATCAAGTTGAATAATTTCCAAGGCGTGGAAACTGGGACGACTTTTGAGAAAAGACCGATTTGACTTCGCCTTTGCCAGTGACCTCAAAAGAGCCCATTTAACGTGCCAATTAGTGCTGTCACAGCAAGAAAATGAAGATTCTACGATCTGTATCCCCGTGGTGCGGACATTGAAGTGTCTGCGTGAACGAAATTATGGTTCAGCTGAGGGTAAAGCAGTTTCCGAATTGAACAAAATGGCTGCAGCAGTTAACAAAAAACCGCCGGCGTTTGTGCCCAAAGGCGCTGAGACACTTCCTCAGATTCAGCAACGCGTGAAAGAGTTTATGAAAATAATGTATAACTTCGTTTCAGCTGGAAAAGGCGAAGAATTATTCGAGTTAGTTGACTGCTTCCAAGCAAAGTTGATGGCATTTAAGTTTATAAATTTTTTGTTATTTATTTTAAAGATGCAGCTCAAATTACGCTCTCCAATAACAACTAACAAATTGCTGTGAAAAAAGGCTCTTTGCTTTTTGTTCGAAAAATAGAATTTTTTATTCCCGGCTGAAAAACTGTATTGGTTAGGATTACTCAGATGAGGTAGATTTTTTAAATCAAAAAATGACCATCATAAACTTTTCCTGGTGTTAAAAAGCTGCACGAAGGAAATGTTGCTGGTTATTTTTGAGCTGCTACACTTTTCCATGTGTCTGTTGTCTCTGTTTGGAAGAATTGTAATCTGAAAACTACCAACTAGAAAGTTTTTATCTTGTAGAAATCTTCAAAATCAAAAATACGGATGAATTAGTTTTTTATTCGACAAATATCACCGTCAATCGCCTGCTAGGTTCTAGTGTAACCTGCAAGAATCGGAGGCAACAGTTAATAGCCCCTTTTTTAGTCTTTTCGTCTTGCTTCAGAAATGCTGCAGATGGCTCAGCTGACAAAAGCAATGAACTAAGAGAGGCTCTTGATCTTCTCAAAGAAGACAATGATTTGACCTCTGTATCTGGCCAGAGTGCTGCTGCTTTCCTGCCTGTAAAGACAAATCCGAAGTCTATCTCTTGTCTCATAGCTAGCCACGGTGGACTAATCCGGGAATTTTTAAGGGTCGTTACAAATGGAAACCTCGGTGATGATGTTATATCTCAAAAAGACACCAAGCGACTTCTAAGCACTCCTCCAAATACTGCATTCACGCATCTGTCCTTGACTATGAGTAGTCCGACTCAGTTCACATTGAATAAACTGCACTTCTTGCATGATGTGTCTCACTTAGCCTAGAACGATTCTGATTTCCAAGTTTTGAAAGAATATTTGTTCTCAGATCTCATACTAATTGTGCCCATTTTGACAGAGTTAAGAGTTGGTCACTTTATAATTTCACTGTGACTTAGTGTTTACCATTAAGAGCAATATGCTCAGATCAACTTGGACAATTCTGATAGTTGCAACATAAACCTAACTTGAACTAAGTTATTATATGGTATTTGAAAACGTCATTTAATTCAGAATTGCCGTTGACATTTTGAGTCAGTTTCGTAATTACTTGAACAGAGGTTTGATGAAGATGTGAAAAATATTTTGATTGTTTCGTTATTTTAGTTAGCTAATGTTTATAATGTAAAATACTACTTCATTCAATCCAAACTGCGTTAGTTGAAGTGCCAACTTGAGGTTTGCTGAATAGACTTCGAATGTCTCAAAAATCGAAGTCGACGTTCTACTGTAACTTGAACAACAGAAACAAATACTTGGCTTTCTTCAAAGCAAGCCGAGGTGGATTTCCGTCAAACGAGGGCGTCCTATGCTGTGCCAAGTGTACCATTACAACCCAAGGCGTGATATTATGTGGATACTTGGTACTCACAAAATTCAGACTCTCATTTCTGAGTTTAGATACATTTGGTGAAATCATACCATGCAGTGAGGATTCGGCGAATTTTTATGACCCGCGAGTGGACATACTTTTGCCACAAGTGCGCAGAGTGTACCTTGTAAAACAAGACGCGTCTGCAGCTGCGATTCCAGAAGATGACCAATCAGAAATGGAGCGAACTGTAACACCTACGAAGGAAATGCAAAAGAAGCTGAGTCTTGTATGGCTTCCCTTTCCGAGTTCTTACAATAGCCCAACTATGGAGTTTTTCTACATGCAAATCGAGTGTACAGACTTCAACTCCATATGTATAGTTTTCGATAAAAAGGAGCCATTTGCCGAGTTTTTGAACAACTTTGCGGATCTGTTAAGATCAGAATCAAAATTCAACTACTTGTTCACTGCCTCAGAATCTTACTCGTGCGGTTATTTCGAATCTGAAGAATCAAATATTAATAGGTTCGAATCTTTAGGAGACTGGGATATCTACCTATCTCAACATATTGATCTATCTCAATCGGCTACTAATTTTTACACCTTCGGAGCTTTTGTTGGCTTCTGTATCTTCAAGCAAATAAATAGAGATTTCAGCAGCAATTTATCTGACAGAGAAAAGGAACATTTTCCTCGATTTTCATTCCATTACAGCTCGAATAGCACCACTAGGTATATTTTCAGGTACTGTCCAAACAATCTGGCAAATTCGAATATTTCCAAAAAACTGCTGCTACCTTCCAACGCAAAAGAGTCCAACAATCTGCACAGATTTATCGATATTGGTCAATACATGTTCTTCGATCCTTCAAATCTTTCATATTCATATGAATTGATATCAGAGTATGTTAATTTCCGGACGGGACGCACGCGCAAGTTCGCTAAGCTATCGATTAAGCAATTCAGAACCGTTTTCGATCAATCGGGTTGGCTTCTGGCTGTGAGCGAAAGTTTGAGGTCGGCTGCTATTGTTGGTTCTTCGGTGATAACATCAATGGAAACCTTACTTTTAGTCACTGATAGTCTAAGAAATGGACAGGATACTCTAATTTTGGTATCATCGCTGGCTCAAATTATGTTGCTGCCTCAATGCAGGACCAGAAAGGGCTTCATTGAATTGATTCAGAAAGAGTGGATTGCAGATGGGTTTGATTTTAAAGCGCAGCTGCCCAAGTTCACGGATGCGAAACCAAAATTCTTGGTTAGTTTTTCTCCAACCGCTATGCTCAATGATTACATATGTTATCTGGTGGAAGTTTAATTAAAATTCTAGTCTTTAAAGTTAATTACTCTAAAAAATCAATGTTAGGGTGCCAACTTTTTCATGCTGCCATATTTGGTATATTGTTGCGACATAATTGGTAGATATAAATCTTCATTCTCAATTAACTGACTTCTCAGTACAAAACAGGATATTTTTTCCTAGGCTACAAAGAGTTAAATTGAATATTTTAACTGTTTTTTTTTGTAGAAGAAATTCCTGGAAAAGAACACGGAAGGCAGTCTGAATGGAAAACGAGTCAAAGATTTCTTCATGAATAGAGCATCAGTGATTTCGGCGCGTCCAACTGAAGAGACCTCGTTGTACAAGCGAACTAAACCTCCAATTTTTCTGCTCTTTCTAGACTGCGTGTTCCAGTTGACCCACCTGTATCCCACTGAATTTGAATTTACCTCAGTTTTCCTGTGCCAAATATGGAATCTACTCCTGACTGGAGCGTTTACCAACTTCATGGATCCCAGATCATCTACCAAGTTCGAGGCAGCGTCTAATTTGTGGCTGTGGATTGAAAACTTCTTTGAAAAATATGATGCGGAGGCGTTTAAGAATCCTTTATACGGATTTTGCTTGACAACAACCGGTAAAATTCCCCATTTACCTTTAGAAAGTGAACTCTATCGGATACCTAACATAGAAGTGTGGGATGATTTGTTCTTTCAACATCACAGTGATTGTTCGACGGTACAAGTTGTAGAAAATGAAAAGCGGGAATCGACACTCATGAGGTGTAATCAGTTTTGGATCCCCGCTCCGAATGTAGTCCAGAGGATCAAAGTGATCGACGCGGCGGCCGAAAATTACCGATGTGTAAATAGATTCATAGATAATGTAGGCAGACATTGGCCTGTTGACTCTTCTGACGGCCTTGAAGACAGTTATGGCAGTTCGCATAATGCTTACAAGTTTGAAAGACAGTCAAGTAGAAGTATGTCGTTCGGGTTTATGCAGGGAGGCAAGCAGACGTTCGTTAAAATGACGTCAAGTAACGACGATCTGTCATTTATTGTAAGTTTTTCAATTCTTGGAACGTGAATTGCGCTATTTTTTTTAATTGTAAAGAGAAAAGAAAAGAAAAAAACGAAGTAAAGTTACCTCTCTCTGCAATCCTAGGGCTGAGTTTGCGACAGAGTTTCTCTTGCTATTTTTAGTAGCAATTTTTTGCATTTATTGTAGAAGAGTTTACAAATTTGGTTTGTTTTAAAGGGTGAAGATTCCGACGGAGAATACGACCCCATCACTCCCTCGCCCGCCAATAACAGAAAGAACCGAGCGCTGGCAATCAGAGAGCAAGGAGCCGAAAATGGCGATTTGAAGCCACTAGACGAATATAATTTCCGAAAATTCTCTGCGCGATTAACAGCTCCATACCCGGTTCATAAGCTTGTCGACGCTTCGGACGAAAAAGATAGCGACGATATTGGTTATGATTTAGGAAGACCGAGTAGTACTAAAATTAGTTTAGATGTAGTCACAAAATTTTAATTTAATCACAAATTATTACAAATCAAATTTTATACTCATGCTAAAGACGTTTGTCAATACTTCAAACATTTGATGTTTCAGCTAAATTGTTCTATCCACCGAATTCCGCTAATAAAATTTTGTAAATTTATTTCTTTTAAGTTTGAGTGGCTGAGTTAATCGTGCTTACGCGGGTGCGACGAAATTTTTCAACCCAAGTTTGACCGAGAAACTGCGAGCTCCCGAAATTGTCTCAAAGATTGACCACAAAGCAGCAGTGAAGAATTTATAATTCAAGCCACAAGCTTTTTCAATTGATTTCAAGCTAAAAAAAATCAGGTTTATTTATCTCGTTTTCAACAATTGCAGAGCATGAAATTTAAGTTGTTGAATTTGATTAAATGGTGACTGAATGTTTGCCGATAAGCTACTATATTTCCAACCAGTAATTTTTCTAGCTTAACTATTTTGAGGTTAAGTTTTATTCCATCCTTATTAGATTTTACTTGTCAGTGGAATGATATTTTTCAGCTTCATAGTGATGCATTTTCTCGAAATTTAAGACGTTGAATTGAACGCTTGAGCCAGCACAAACCTCCCCAAAAATGACTGGACAATTTTGCCCTCAGTCACCGTCGCATTAATTGCATCGAAGTCTGGTCGATATATTGGTGCCACTTGCACATCAACTGGTTATTCTTGCTCATGAAGAGGAAAGGAATTTTGTATGCGCCGGTTTGTTTTTGTAAACTTTCCCTGCAAGATAATGTACGACAAATCTTTTATATTCAATGAAAGTCGGAATGCGCTATGTACGCAATGTTTAACTAAGCGCAATGTTTAGTTTTGTCGAATGCGACGTTTAAATAATTCTTCATGCTTAGCGTTTAAGAGAAGGCCAAGAATGTTCTAGAACTTTCAAACTTTCTAAGTCTGGAATATTCTAGAATTTTTTTGACAAGAATTCAATTCTTTAGACAAAATGAACTCAATTCATTGTCACGGCTAGACAATGCCTGTCCATTTTGCCGAAATTTTGCCTTTACAGAATGATTTCATTCTGAAAGAACCAACTAAAAACAGCAACATCCTTGCTAGACAAAACTAGCTGTTTGCAAACCAATTTGCGCTATGAAATGTTTTGAAATATTTCAAAGTTTCATTGGTTGCACAGCTTGCTTAGAAAAACAAAGTTTTGCTCTGTGAAAAATTGAGATAATTCGAAGCTTCCTTGCCTCAATAGCTTGCTTAGAAAATTTGAAAGTTTTTGCCAGACGAATTCCTCTATGAAACAACCTGACATATTTCAAAGTTTCATCGCATGATTAGCATGCTCAGAAAAACGTTGCTATAATTCAAGATATCTCATAGACGAATCGTTTTGCGAGAAGCTTAGAGCAATTTTTAGCAAACAATTTGTAAGCAAGCTGATCGCAAACAGATTTGACATTTGAAATAATTTGAAATTTTTAAAAGTTTCACAGCTTTAACAGCTTGCTTAGAAAAACTTTAACTTTCATTGCGAATGGAATCGCTCTATGAAACAACTTGAAAAATTTCAATGTTTCATCGCTTGAATAGCTTCCATAGAATAACCTTAAGTTTCGCCATCCGATTTGCTTCATGAAATATTTTGAAACATTCAGAATTTCATAGCTTGAATAGCTTGTTTAGAAAAACTCCATTTTTTTGGAACTGATTTGTTCAATGAAACCTTTTACGATATGGCTCAAGTTTCTTAAACCGATTTACGATATGGCGCAACTTGAAATTGTTCAAAGTTTCATTGCTTGGATAGCTTGATCAGAAAGACATCTAATTTTTTGCGTGCTAATTGATTATTGGAGGTGGGCTTGCTAGTAATCATGAAGTAAGTGGTGGTATATCAACCAGCCGAAAATACGTGAATGTTATATAATATTTATGTAACAATTATGTAACAGTTACGAAATTTAAGCAAATTCATTCATAGCAAAGTCGGTACTAGCTTACTTGTTTGGTCCCTAAAAAATGCCATGGTCCCTTTATAAAACCGAGGTTAGAGTATGTGGCTGATTCTAACAGAAGGCATTTTTATTTCTCTATATTAACGAAACGTGCCTAGTTAGTCTAAAGGGTACGAACCCTGTTACCAACCCCAAGGCGTAGGTTCAAATTCCGTGCCGGCTCTTCTTTTTAGAAAATAGGCGGGACCAATCATCAAAACTAATTTTTTCACGGGACCAAACAAGTAAACTAGTACCGCAAATTAATTCATGATGTAAATTTTCGGCTGGCTTATATACGCAATTATTTCGGTCGGCCTATACTTCGACTGTTTAGTTTGCTCTCGAAGTTAGAAGAGTCGAAATATAGTTGGTAAAGCCCTTATAATTACAGTTTCGATTATCTGGCGTTATCAAATCGGAATAAAGACTTTTTTGGGTTAACAAATAGTTAACAAAATCAATTGAATCACTTATGAGTTTCTTGAGAATCACTGCTCAGTTTCATGAAAATTCTTTTTTCTTATTAAACTCTGTCAGTTTAGTTTCCAAGTTCTGAAGTCCACTTTGCGCACTATTAATATAACTATCGTGGATGCTATGTTGGTGTTACATGCTTTTTTCCAATATGATTTTTTGGCTAATTTTCAGCTAATCGGGCGTCGGCTTTATGTCTGTCGGCTTATTTATTTTTTAAATTAAATGCCCGGCAGTACTTTTGATATCGATAAGACTTTGTCACCACCAATTTTTAAATCCCCTAGTCAAACGCTCTGGGAACTCTCGGAAAAACTTTAACTCAAAAAATATGTATGTTTTTTTTCGATTTTCAACTGACTGATTCAATTGTAACCTTCTTCAAAGTGCTGTTGGCTATTTTCTGATTGTCATCTTGCTTTCATCCGATCTATACCTTATTTAATTGGCGGTCCACTTGTCAAATGTTTAAGAAGTTCTCCCTGTGTTGACGTGTTCAGCCTTTTTCTTTGTATTATTTTGCATGTTTATTGAAACAATTTTTGCAAGTTTTAAGCTATATCGTAAATTGTTTTGCTCAAGAATTTTCACTCGGACATGTTTAAGAGGTCGCTATGTTGGTCTGTTAACAGGCTAAAACCTTGCAATGGTTGAAACTCTTACTCAAGTCGACGTTTAAAAATATGTTGGAACGCTAATGCTCTAAATCTACATGTTTTTATTTTCGCAACGTCAAAATATCCAATTTTTGTAACTAAATAAAAATTTCTCAACCCTATAGTGGGGTGCTGTCAGGGTACGCTCAGGATTTGCAAATTTGGCGTCCAAGTGTGACTGCTCAAATCTTTTTAGTTTTGGAGATATGGCGTTTATAATGAGAGGACGTTTCTTATGATTTTTTCATTTTTGTTCTAAACGCTTATGATTTTTTCAATTTGGTTCTAAAAACTTATAAGCAAAAACACAACCTTGAATTTTTCAATACTATAAAGGTATGTTGTAAGGGTGAACTCAGGAGTCGGAAATCTCGCGTCCAAGTATGACTACTCAAACTTTTTTTGGTTTTCGAAATATGACATTTTTTTTTAATTTTCAGTTTGGTTCTAAAAACTTCGATACAAAACAGTGGACTTGAAATTCTCAACCCTATAATGAGGAGCTGTCAGAGTTTCCTCAGGATTTGGAAATATGGCTTCCAAGTATGACTGCTCAATTCTTTTTGGTTTTCGAGATATAAAGTTTCTTAGGATTTTTTCAATTTGGTTCTAAACTTTTCTTTTTTTCAATTTGGTTCTAAAAACTTAGATACAAAAACGCGAACTTAAATTTCTAAACACTATAATGTGGTGCTCTAAGGATGAACTCAGGAGTTGCAAAGCTGGCGTCCAGATTTGACGGCTCAAATCTTTTCGATTTTCGTGATACGGCGTTTTTTTAAGATTCATTTTTTTTCCAAAAAATTCTCAATCCTATGGTGGTTTGCTGTCAGAATGCACTCAGGGGCTGCAATTCTTGCCTTAGAATGTCAGTTACACATTGGCGTTGCAAATCTGTTTACAACATGCAAAATATGACTGAATAAAACTTTTTGCTTACCGAGATTTGGTGTATTTTACATGTATATTTTAATCGATCTTTAAGTTCTCAACCCTAATGTTGGGGTTTTCTCTGGGTCCTTTCAACTGTATAATATAGGGTAACGAATTTGCCCTTTGATTTTATCTGCTCAATTTATTTTGATTTTGTGATATGGCATTTTTATGAAAAAGAAACCACTGATAGATAAATAATAGTTGTTTTTAGTATTTTGGTTTTTCCTGCTGTTTGTAACGTTACTGGCCTTGATTTCGTGTATTTTCTTTTTTTTTCGATTAAAAAACGTTCTTCTGTCCAAATGATTTCCGCTTATTTTTATCGATTTAAAGTCCTAGTTTTGAGTTGTATCAAAAGCAACATAGTTTTTATGCGCCTCTCTAGATTGCACAAAATGCTTTAGATCACAGTTTTAAAATAGAAGTTATAGATTTTCATGACAACAAGTTTTTGTTGGGTTTCTTTTCCTTTCTTCCGCTTGATAGGTAGGTTGCGACCTATATTAAATTGGCTGAACTGCTTTATATTGCGTCTTTCGACAAAAGAAAAAAGTTTGTAGGTGCGTGTGCCGGTGTTTTGAGGCTGAAGGGGACCTTACAGCTTTTTATGAATTTTTCGGTTTTAGTTTTTTATATTCCATTTTCGGCTTAATAAGTTTCGACCTTTACTATATCGGCTTAGTGGCCTCATATTGTTTCATATGACGAGCAAATAAAGATTTTTGCTTGTGTGTTTTGAGAATTATTTTCAGATTCTATTGCCTTTGCGTTTATTTCAAAACTAGCCTTAATCATTTTGATATATCTAAAGACAGTCGCTTAGTCAGCAAAAAAAGCGAAAATGTCGAAAAAACTAGATCTATCAAAATGATTAAGGCTAGTTTTGAAATAAACGCATTTTCATTTTTTTTCCGACTCTTTTCGCATTTTCATTTTTTTTTCATTTTCTGGTGTTGTATCGCAATTGGTGCGAAGCTCGGCTTCGTCTCTGTGTTTAGGTTTGATTCTTTTATTACCGGGTAGTGAACATTGCTTTGAAGAGGCTAGGCAATTGACATGGTTTTGCTTAAACTTATCTGGGAGAATGTTTTTTTTTGCAGTACTTAATTTTTGATTGTTTTATTGCAATTTAATTAAATTAGAATGTATAAAATGTTTTAGCATGGCACAAATCTCTGTTTTAGGGTTGCATTTTATATTGTTGTTTCGGCCACAGAAAGTCGGAAGGAACTTTGTCTTCAGGTGTTTTTTTTCTTTGGTCCACTTTTTTTTCAACCCAAAATCAGGCACTACATAAAGTCGTTGAATAGTTCGAGTGATTTGTCATGTTTAAGCTTTTTCAATCGTTATTTGAAGGACCTAAAAAACCGAATTTTTTATTTATGTTGACTCGAGATAAATCGTTCAGAAAAGTTCATTTCTTAGTCTAATTTTGAGCGAGTAAAGCGAGCGAGTAGTAGTTATGATAGGCAAAATCTTTTATTTCAGCCGTCAAAACTTAATTTTTCTTGTTAAACTAATTTTTTGAAGCTTCCTTTAGCGCTTCCTTTGCCTTAAAAAGTTTTTTTTTCATTTCCAACAATAATCTTCTTTTTTTTTTCATTTTTTGAAGACAACTAACAATCTAATCTTTCGACTTGTTAAACACATCAAACCACTTAAAAATGATACAAAATAAGATTAAAAAATAAGTTTTTTTAATGAATGATGCCAGAAATTTTTGTGCTACTAGCACAGCAACAGAGCTCGCTTATTTTATAGCTTTGGCAATAAAATTTTTGGTTGTGGCCACAAAAATTTTTTATGAAAGTTTTCATGTTCAGCAAATTGTTTTAAATAATCTTAAGTGCGAGTCCAGCGTCAGTTGATTTGCTTCCTTCGTTTGTAGACACAGCTTGCGTTTGAAGTGACAGTAAACAGGTGCGGTTAAAAAAACACTGCCGTTTGTCATTAAAAATTATAATACATTTATGCTTAGCTGCAAAAAAATAGCAATTTTTGGAAGCGCGATAAAATTCCTGAAGGTTTGCATTTTACTCTTCAGAATTTGGAATTGATCGCTGCTAAAATGCTGCTGAGGTAAGTGAGAGGAGAAAATAAGCAATGAAGGTGAACTGGAACGTGGTGGCTCCAGTCGTAACGGCTGCCGGTGTTTCATTCCTCACAGGAGCTGCTCTATACCACACGCTGCATCATAGGAATATTGAGTTCCAGGTAGCAAACGGGAATTCACAGGATGTAACAGATGTGGAGATTATGATAATGTATGCTACCGTGGAAGGAACTTCGGAAAAATTTGCGAACCAGCTGAAAAAGTATTTGGAAGCTATCACTCAAGGTAAAGTGAAGCAAATAAAACCATGGAAAAAAAATATTTATTTTGATGAAAATTTAAATTAAATACGTATGATTATCGAATTTAAAAGTTTCGTGTTTTTCGCTTGGCAATTTCCTTGCAGAATTTTTTTGCAGGTATTTCGTTCTCACTTGTCAATCTGAAATATTTCGACCCCGAAATTCATATTCTGAACAGGCTTCCCTCTCAGAAAACCCTGTGGGTCTTCGTTCTTCCCTCTTACGATACGGAATCACGTGCTCCTCCGACCGCAGAATGGTTCTCGAATTGGTTGTTTGAAAGCGCCAACGATTTCCGAGTTAGCCAGTCGATGCTACACGGAATGCTCTTTGCGCTTTTTGGACTCGGCGACAGCGCATATGGGGAAATGTTCAACTCGTTTGCCAAATCAGTTTCTACAAATTTAAAAACATTGAGCGCGAAACCCTTGACTGAACCTGTGTATGGCGATTGGCAGGAGGATATCGGGAAGGCTTTTGATGTTTGGAAAATTAAACTTGTGGAAATGATTCGAGTATGGATCGATTCAGTGGAGACTGAAAAACCGTCAGTCGAATCTGGAGCCGAAAACGGACAATCCGGATGTGGAGCATGTAAAACATGTACATGTAAAGGTGAGGGTGGGTACAAGTATGATAGACGGATTCTTTGGAAAAACGCCAGTCAAACGCAATCCATTTTTTTAAATAGATGCAAATAAATTGAATAAACTTTCCAAATATCAGGATTTCTGCTTCTTGGAGGAAAAATAGTGTGTTTTATCATCTATCATTTTTATACTAAGGCGAGAAAGAAGAAACTTTGGCAAATGGAACTGAAGCATCTGGAGATGAGTATGACTCATCGGACGAAGAGAAGGACGAAAGTCACTCTGAGAAAAGAAACGGAAAGGCGTCTCTTGATTTAGAAGATATGGGCGATATGATTAAGAAACGAGAGGAGAGTAGAATGGAAGAGATGACTGATGGGGATGGGGATAAGCCAGTTAAGGAGATGCTGACGCCAATGATAAGGGAGTCATTGACGAAACAGGGATACAAGTTGATCGGTAAGTTATAAATTTTAATGAGAAAATCTTTCGCCAGAGATCACTAAATTTCTGGTTTTAAGCAAAAGTGAGATAAAAAATGGTTGTTGTGATGTTGAATGACCAAATACGTTCTTCAAGTTTCCTATGGTTTCTAGACCGTTGGCTGTGAATGTTGTCCACTATTTTCCTGTGATGTTTTTCTGCAAATTTTAAAGTATATATTTTTGTCAATTTCACTCTTGTGATCCTCATTTTGACGTTCGTTCTGATAGTCTCACACAATTGTTTCAGTCGTTTGTTGATTAGGGTCCCACAGTGGAGTGAAACTGTGTCGCTGGACCAAGAGCATGATGAGAGGAAGAGGAGGATGCTACAAGCACTCATTCTATGGAATAGAGAGCCACAGGTGTATGGAGACCACTCCCTCTCTGGCCTGTGCGAACAAGTGTGTGTTCTGCTGGAGACACCACACCAACCCAGTGGGCACTGAGTGGAAGTGGGCCATGGACAGTCCACAGCTCATTTTCAAGGTTCCACTTCCTCATCCATTATGATGTTTTTACACAAGCAGCGCTTCTGTTGTATTATTGACTTTTTCAACACTCAACAAATTAAGTTTGTTAAAAGGAATATTTATCAAAGTATGAATAAATCTGAACATATCATTTCAGAGGAAATATTTAACCTATTATGAACAACTTAAGGTCGTGAAATGAGGGTTTAATCTTTTCTTAAGAGTACTGATGATTACAGAAGCCATTCTTGCGCTACTTTATTTTCATAGTGGATTATCAAAAACGCTGTGAAGAAATATATAAAATGAATTTAATACTTCAGGGGGCAACGGAAAACCACTATTCCATGATTAAACAGTTCAAAGGAGTTCCCGGCGTACTACCCGCCAAATTTGACGAAGCATTCACGATCAAGCACTGTGCGCTGTCGCTAGTAGGAGAGCCAATCATGTACCCGGAAATAAACACGCTCGTAGGTTTACTTCACGAAAGTAAAATATCGACGTTTCTAGTTACGAATGCGCAGTTTCCAGATGCCATTAAAAATTTGGTGCCAGTGACGCAGTTGTACGTGAGTGTGGATGCAAGTACGAAAGACAGCTTGAAGAAGATTGACAGACCGCTGTTCAAAGACTTCTGGGAGAGATTTGTTGATTCACTAACCGCTTTAGATCAAAAAGGTTTGACCCGGTTCTGGATAGGCGTTAAAATCTAAATAAGAAATTTGGGCATCTTTGACCAAAGTCCTGTTTCCTTAGAATTTGGCATTGAAATTAGCTTGGATAATATAACTCAAATACAGCAGAAACGTTGATTAGGTTTAATGAGGAAAGGTAAAATATCTTTATCGATGTTTCAGTTTCTCTTTTTAGGTCAAAGAACTGTATACCGGTTGACTTTGGTTAAAGGACTGAACGTGGAGGAAATCCAACAGTACGCTGAATTGATTTCCCTTGGCAATCCTGACTTCATTGAGGTCAAAGGGGTGACCTATTGCGGAACTACCAAAAACAGCGGAAAAGCCCCTCTGACAATGTCAAATGTCCCGTTTCACGAAGAGGTGATCGATTTCTGCCAACACTTGAGTTCGATGCTCGGAAGTTACGAAGTAGCCAGTGAACATGAACACTCAAATTGTGTTCTGATTGCGCATCGTAAATTTAAACCAGATGGTCTAAATTGGTACACGTGGATTGATTATGAGAAGTTCCACGAATTGAATAGAAAATATAACGAAATCGGAGAGAGCTTCAGTTCAATTGATTACATGGAAAGAACGCCCGATTGGGCTGTATTTGGTTGCAAAGAACGGGGATTTGACCCGAATGAGACGAGATGGTTCAGAAACAAAGCGAAAAAATCTTAGTTAAAAGTTCATGTATTTAATATTCGCGATGATGCTCTTGTGTTCAAGAATCAAGTTTTTCAAAAAAAACGATCAAATTTTTAAATCTACAGATATCTATTCAGCTTATTAGTTTTTACACAAGCAAACCTCCGTGTTCTATTACGCATTACTTTTTTCCAACATTGCATGTATTAGTGTTCAACAAATCAGTGCTTAATTTCAGTGTCTGTGTGTTGCTCTTAATTATATTTGGGAATTTAATAGCATGTGTTTTTTTTTCACTTGCGAGTGTTAGGGAATTGTAATTGAATTGGGAACTAGACTTATTCGCGGGAACTACTTTTTTCTCATGCTGGTAATTCAGAAAACAAGAATAGTGAAGACGCTTCTCAAGTCCCCATTTTTATTGCACTTGCGAATAGGAAGGGCTTTGTAATCGGGTACAAGACCTTTTTTCCGCATAAACCACTATTACACAATTCGCAAAGGAGATATGTACTTCATAATAAATTCAGTCTCAATGATGGATTCTGCATATCAAATCTAGAAGTAATATCCTCTCTTGATATGATATAGACGCTGGGTTCGTTTCCGTTAGGAGCCCGTTGTTTTTTGAAAATAAAGTTTTTTTGATAGTTCAATTTTTGGACTGTCGTTTGTGTGGTTTTTTAACGGTTTTTTCCCGAAATTTTCTTCAAGTTGATGCCAGTTTGACTATAATTTGAATTCATTTTGATTCATTTATGTAATTTTATCACCTATGGTTCTGTACAATAACATTTTTTTGTTTTTAAGGTTTATTTAAATATAATTGTGTCCGACTTATTATCCCTAGGTCTCAGGATCGAATCTACACGTTTACTAATTCGAGGCTTATTTCTACTTTTTTATTGCATTTTATAAAGCTGCTTTTTTGGTCTAGAATCCAGATCTTATCGATTGAGGATTTTTTTTTAAATTCTATAGTAGTATTGTTATACCATCGGAAATATATTGATACCCTGAGCTCAGAATGAAAATGAAATTTTTTTGTGATCATTTTTCGCAAAGTGAGGGCCATTTTTTTGAGTTAGGGATAATTTAAGTTTTCTGTTTCAGGTGGCGTAGGCAGAAAACTGTTTCGGCGTAGAACGCATTCCAAATCGAATTTAGGCGAACCCATTTAGTGTTTTTATTGACATTTTGAAGCTCTTCTTTACTATTTCTTTTGCTTGTACATGCATAGTGCTGAGCTGATGTGAAGTTAGCGAAACATATCAATTGACTTTGTAATACAAGAATCTACCTATGATTTGTTATGAAACTTGCACTCATATCGAAAATGAAAATGGCTGCTGCGTGACATTTTTTCACAAATAATAATGTTCATTAAATGTGCTTATTTATTCGGTGGCACTTTTGCTATAATCACGATCTGTAGCATTGGAATTTTGTTCATAGCATTTGTTCAATTTTTTGCATAGCATCTGTTCTCTGCTTTATTTCTGTTTGTTTAAAAGTTTGTTATTTTTTACTCTTGCACTAGTTATGTGGAGTTAGTAGATGGAGAGGAGCTCTTTTCGGGCAATAATTCTTTTTCAAATAAGTTATTTAAAAAATGTTGAATTGCTTTTTTTTTCAGATTCGCCCTGGTTTCCGTCGGTTCAGTTTCCGTTTTTCCTTATGTCATTGATTCATATTATCTAGACGGTTTTTGTCATCGGCATGTTTTCTTCAGCTTATTGGTTTTGATTCAATTCCGTAATTTGTAAATTTTTTTACTCTGACTTATTCTTAATTTTTTTTGGCTTCATTTTTGGTTAAATGTTTTATTCTGCTAAAGTGGTTTGGGCTGATGTTTTATTGGCTAATTGACTTAATTTTGCGTAGTTCGAAAATAAACAAAAAAAGATTTTACGTTTTTGTTGTTTCCGTTGAAGAGGGGCGTAAATTTGTAGATTTTTCCATGTTAATAACTCAAAATTGTTCTTGAGCAAAATGTCGGAAACAAAAATTTTCATGTGTTGCTGGCTCAGTTGCCGCTTGGTAAATTCTTTTTGCTAAACGTTTTTTTTTTGCAAATTGAACTTCGTTCGAATTACTTTTTTCGATTTGCCGGCTTTTTTCTGTTTCCAGGGTAACAAGGTTATGTTTGTTTGCTATTGCAAGTAATGCGAAGTTCTGCTTCGTCTCTGCGTTTATTTTCCCCCGTTCTTCTAATTGGTTTCTTCGGTAGGGCGCCAATTCGTATCAAGCTACAATTTGTAACAAGGCGTTAGCAAGTAGAATACGCTTGCTCCGCTGCGCTCACATCCGGCACGAGAGGAATACTGCGGGTGAATCAGCGTTCCCCGTTTATTCTACTGTTACGAATTGTCGCTTGGTACGAATTGTCGCTTGTTACGAATTGTCACCTGTTGAGAATTGTCGCCTGTTGCGAATTGTCGCCTCCTGGGTTTCGGCATTTGTTATGGTGGCTGTCAACTTATATTGCGTACTTTTGAAGGCAAATATTTTTATGCATTTGTTTTTTAGTATGAATGAGTCGTAAAAACGCTTTTAACTTTATAGCTCATAATTTTTTACCACAGTTTTGTGTTGCTCGCCAGGGATCAATCTGAATTTTGTCGCCCTACTTGCCTATCGGTAATCGTTTTTTTTTTGATATTTAAAAAAGTCAAATTATTTTTTTCAGCTTAAATTATTTTTAAAAAAATCCAAGTTCCGTCTAGTTTTTTTCACCGTCTTGTAGCGCATTGTTTTTCTTCTACCGCAAGTGTTGCGAAGCTCAGATTCGTCCCTGTGTCAAATAATGGAGTCTCAGTGAAAATTCTCAAATTCAATCATTTTAACTGAAATAATTTTTTTGTTTACGCTTGCCATTAGCTGAATTTTTTCCTGGAAGTTTAATTTTTACCAAGTAACTGGCCGATCGTTTGTTTTATGTTTGCAGTCGTAGTTGCCACAGCACGGATTTTTATTATTATTTAAGCAATTTTGTCTATAATTTAGAGTCCGCTTGATATATTCATCTAATGGTGCTGAATGTTTTTTTTAAATCTGATCTTGTAATATCCCATTTTAAGGCGGTTTTTACTGATTTTTGCTGAATAAATTGGTAAAATTTGCGAATCTCGCTGTTTTTTTCTGCGAATTGAATTTGTGATATAGAATTTTGAGACGATTTCTTTTGGTTCTTGTTTTGTTTTTTTTTCTCTCTCCTCTCAATCAGAAGAAAGCAGTGAGTACATCTGTAACTTGTGGTTGGTCATCAAATCATTTGAAATGGTTATTTTATTTCAATAATAAAAACTAACGATTTTTAGGAGTTACGAATGATTCCTTTGCGTGGTTTCAGTTTGTCAATCGTGCTTTTATTACGCAAGCGATATATTGAGTGTAGTGTTTTATAACGAATCTACATTTTCTATAGCAACTGGCAATTAAAAGGGCTTTTTTAAAGGCATTTTTTGGCTTTTTAAATGCATAGCATTGGCAATCTAATAGCATCTGTTCTCTGCATTGTTGGTCGCTAGTGATTGCTTATTGCCAAGCGAACTTGGCGCAGATGCGAAAACATGAAGTTCCCAACTTTCAAGTCGGCTGTTGGGTTACGGAACATTTCACAAGATTTTTTAAGGCTTTTTTTTGTATTTTTTCAAGACTTTTTGAAACATATTCTTTCCTGATTTCACCCTTTACCTTTCTGAACCTAACTTTTGCTGTTTTCTCGCTCGTGTTAGCGAAGTGCACCTTCGCCTCAATGTGAACTTTTATGGCTAGAATGTTTATGGCCTTCTCTCGAATTACTCTGAAGTTTTTTGTCGCAGTAATTTTTAAGTAATTGATTTTAAGCACGAACTCTATTGTCATGATTTTTTTCTGGAAAATGATGAGAGGATCCGCTTCGCTTATTTATTTTTCTCTTTTTAGTTATCAAAAGTTATAATTTTTTCAAATTTACAATTGTTTTTATGTTGGTTAATATACAAAGTCTGATTTGATATAATTTCCGTTTTTCTATGCTCTCGGCTGAAAAATTTTCAGCTTCGATAACAAATTCGACCAACGAGTTCATTTTAGCTGTTAAAGATGAAACAAGTAAAAATAATTTTTGACATTTTTTATTTTAACGTGGAAAACAAGCTAATTGAAGAAGCCGTCTTGTAGCACCGTCTTGTAGCGCATTGTTTTTCTTCTGTCGCAAGTGTTGCGAAGCTCACTGTCGTCCATGTGTCAAATAATGGAGTCTCAGTGAAAATTCTCAAATTCAATCATTTTAACTGAAATAATTTTTTTGTTGACGCTTGCCATTAGCTGAATTTTTTTCCTGGAAGTTTAATTTTTACCAAGTAACTGGCCGATCGTTTGTTTTATGTTTGCAGTCGTAGTTGCCACAGCACGGATTTTTATTATTATTCAAGTAATTTTAACTATAATTTAGAGTCCGCTTGATATGTTCATCTAATGGTGCTGAATGTTTTTTAAAATCTGATCTTGTAATATTCAATTTTTGGGGCGGGTTTTGCTGATTTTTGCTGATTAAATTGGTAAGTTTTGCGATCCTCGCTGTTGTTTTCTGCTAATTGAATTTGTGATATAAAATTTTGAGACGATTTCTTTAGGTTTTTGGTTTTTTTTCTCTCCTCTCAATCAGAAGAAAGCAGTGAGTACATCTGTGCCTTGTGGTTTGTCATCAAATCATTTGAAATGGTTATTATATTTCAATAATAAAAAACAACTTTTCAGGAGTTACGAATGATTCCTTCGCGTGGTTTCAGTTTGTCAATCGTGCTTTTATTACGCAAGCGAGATATTGAGTGTAGTGTTATATAACGAATCTACATTTTCTATACCAACTGGCAATTAAAATGGCTTTTTTAAAGGCATTTTTTGGCTTTTTACCATAGCATTGGCAATCTAATAGCATCTGTTCTCTGCTTTGTTGGTCGCTAGTGATTGCTTATTGCCAAGCGAACCTGGTGCAGATGCGAAATGATGAAGTTCCCAAATTTCAAGTCGGCTGTTGGGTTCCGGGACATTTCACAAAATTTTTCAAGGCTTATTTAATCATTCGCCTCAATGTGAACTTTTATGGCTAGAATGTTTATGGCCTTCTTTCGAGTTACTCTGAAGTTTTTTGTCGCAGTATTTTTTAAGTAATTGATTTTAAGCACGAACTCTATTGTCATGATTTTTTTCTGGAAAATGATGAGAGGATCCGCTTCGCTTATTTATTTTTCTCTTTTTAGTTATCAAAAGTTATAATTTTTTCAAAACCTAACAATTGTTTTTATGTTGGTTAATATACAAAGTCTGATTTGATATAACTTCCGTTTTTCTATGCTCTCGGCTGAAAAATTTTCAGCTTCGAAAACAAATTCGACCAAAGAATTCATTTTAGCTGTTAAAGATGAAACAAGTAAAAATAATTTTTGACATTTTTTATTTTAACGTGGAAAACAAGCTAATTGAAGAAGCCATAAAAACAAATATCGGTGAGCAAGTTTCCAGAAAACGGCATTAAAAAATGAATAACATAAATTCATTTTGATTTCCTTCCGATGTTTTTTTTGCGTCCGATCGTTGCTTATAGGCTGGCAATCAGAAAAGCTTGAGAACCAAAAATATTGAGGCAATTTTTCTCAGCAGCTCGAAAACTTTTGCAGAGCATTTCGTTTAGGACTGAAAATGATTCAATAGAAATGGTATCTCATTAGACCCTTTTGGCGTGTAGTTCTGAAATTTGATTCTGAGTGTGGAAAGCAGCCGAATACAAAGTTCCTGCGTACAGTGTGATCGAACAAACAGATGTATTTCAGCAAGTTACAAAGCTCCTATAAATGTCTTTTTTAGCTTCATGTTTTTTAGCTCTCCAACGTTTTCTGTGGTAGCTCTTCAACGTTTCTGGGTAGCTTAGCTCATGACCGAATCATGGTCACTGCATCAGATACGATGAATAATGAGTGGGAATGAGAGGCTCCCGTTTCTGATGAATATAATTTCAATCAGATCCAAACCGAATGTATATTTCATAGGCGTACATCGATACGTTAACGCTTTGCGCACTGGAATCGTCTTCTAGTTATTTAAAATCATCAGTTACCAAAAATTGATGTTTTGCTGCAAAAATATATTCAATTGTTCTAATAAAAATAAAAAAACTGTCAATATCGCTAATTTTTGAATTTCCACAATAATTTTCATGCCATGTGTGTTTTTGGTCCTCTCGATTGAAGCTGCTCGCTGAGGGAGATGAACATTTTCTGCTTCCTATACTTCAGAGTTTCGGACGTCTTGGTCATGTAGAAAATCACTTAGTGTTTCTTCGTTTTCGGAGCTTTTGTGAGAATGTAAAAACTGATCAATCGGTGAGCCCAAATTAGACTGCGATCTATATCGTGTAGAAGATTCACTCGAGTTTAAAGGGTCTGGCGATGGCGGAAACTCCATGATTGGGTTTGATATTATTAATGCGTTGTCGTAGCGATTGAACCCGAAAAAATTCGACGGTGTACTTGCACGCTTTTTGGCTAGTTTTGAGTTTCTGGAAGTCAATTTAGGTGATGTAAAGGAGAATTTAGGCTTCGCAGTTTCAGATGACTTAGGAGGTATTTCAATTGGTAAGTGTAACTGGATGGATTCGAAATCCGTGAGTGTGTCGTCTTTGGTTGTTTTAGTTTTATCGCTCTGAGGGGTTGGACCTCTCAACGGAAACAGATCCTGGTCTTCGGTTTCGTCCGCGTTAGCCTTGTTGCCCTTACCGCCACAGTTGAAACATGTTGTGGAAGTTGGCGAGTCCACAGGTTTTGTGGGCTCAATTTGGTGGTACTTGAGAAGCAGGTCCAGCTTTAAGTTCACTTCGTCCACGTCGCTTTGCATGCCGCGTCCAAATGTGCTCATTTTTCGCTCTAAACAAATTCAACTGATAACAAGGATAGCCGATTAGTGTGCAAGCAGAACAGAATGTTCCGACCATAGTCCTAAAAAAATACAAAACATGATTCAAATTAGTGTCGTTTTTTCTGCGTGGTGTGATAAAAAGATCTGATTGAAAAAATGGAACTGAACCTTATTCGACACTGATAGTAATATAAGCCGAAATAAAAAAACGAAAATTTAGAAAGAAAAAAATTTAAAAAAGCGTTAAAAAATCGCGGAGTTTTTGATTCCTCAGATGGCGCTAAAATGACTCCAAAACTGACTTTTCTTGAGTAAAACTATTTTTCATGGCTTAAATTAATTATAAATAAGCTTTTTTAAGCCTGCATGCTAACCTTATCAGCCCGAAATTAGATCAAAAATCATAAATTTCAAACCGGTTTTCCTCAACAATGTGATTATTTTTAGATTTTGTTCAAATCACGACTGAAAGGGCTTAAATATGATTTATTACTCGAACCATGCCGATGATTATATGTGGTACCTGATTTTGCGTGGAAAAAAAAACAAAAAGTTGAAAAAATCTAAAACACCCGAATACAAAGTTCCTGCCCATTTTCAATGGTCGGAACAAAAAAAGTTACTCAGATGTCAAAATACGAATAGCGTCAAAATACTCAGATGTCAAAATACAACTAAAACAATTTACTTCAAGTGATGCTATCATATCGTCAGTGGTGAATGCGATTGTGCAGTTGCGGTTGCTCTATTTTTAGGTCATGTGGTCAATCACCGTAAAACAATGAATAGCTATCCTAAAAATGGCAGAGAAAGACGATCTAATTTAGTGCTAAATTACGGAGGCTTCTTATTAAATTGAAACTCAATTAGATGATCATTTTGGACAAAAGGGTATTATTTTTAGTCTTCATCGTCTAAAATTTAATCATTTTACTGTGCTCGTTTTATCAAAATTACATTAAAAGCTACCGTGGGTCAGAGATAATGGAATAAAAAAGGTATCTTTGCCTTCTTTAACCCCTAGCGAGTAAAATCGGGTGTTTGTTTTGGCATAAAATTATTTGATTAAATCCATGTATCACACTTGACTAGCCCTTTACCCTGAAAAAGTAATATTTAGCTCCTAGCTTAAATGAAATTCCCGATTGGTTTATTAAAATATACAGGAGTTCACTGCCCATTTTTATGCACATACTTTCCAGTTTACAAAGTAGAGTATCATTAATTTCGACCATGAGCATGATGGTATTGCCTGCAGAACTTATATTTCGTAGTTAATCTAAGAATATTGTGTTGAGGATTATCTTTTCTCTCTGTATAAAGATTCATTGAGAAATCCCATGAAATTTGGTGACGGGTACCTTTCGCGAGAGCCTAGGGTTGTTGGCGAGCTCATTTCTTTTACCAGGGAGCGAAAGTGTAGAGTTAATCTAAGGTCACTTCATTAAAACAGGAAAAATGGAAGGAACCCCTTCGAAAGTTTCAGAGGAGTACTTCCTTTTTGATAGAATGGATTAGTGTTATGATTGCATCTTCGTGGAAGTAATCTGAACGAAAATGAAAATCTTATATACAGTTTATTGTCAGTATAATGAAGCGAGTCTATGAAATGGATGCTTGGGAACTATAATTCACTTTCAAAGTAAGTCAATGCATGCAATTTGGTTAAAAATATCTATTAGTATTCATTTTCGTCCGAGAAGCGCTCCCAAGATAAAAGATTTTTATGTTGTAATGAGTTTCAAGCCCTCGACCCCCCAAAGCAGGCTTAAGGCAAGTCAGTCTTCGAGGGAGATCATTTGAGGGAACTCTTGTTCCGATCTTCGAAGAACTTTGCCTTTCTGGCCCAAATAACCGCTTGGGGAGAGGATAAGAGGTATGTTTTTTTAATCGGCGATTGAAACTTTGGTGCTTGGCGGACCATTTAAGCGCAATTAAAGAGATAAAATATTCTTTATTTACATAACCTGTTAAATGTAGCAGTCCATTCACCAAGAAAAATTTTTTTTAAATTTTTCAATTAATTTTCAATATGCTACTGTGGTTGGAACATACTGCTGCTTGCTCATCAACCAGTATTTACAGATACTGTTTGTAATTTTTGGATAAAGCGTCTGCTTATGGAGTTGGAAAGACTCTATTTGCTTAACTGTTCCCCCTTCCCCCAGGTGAACTGAATGATTAATTTAAAATGAGTTTCGAATGTCGTTCGAGTAGACTGACCTCGTTTGAAGTCGGAGTCGGTGACCCTGCCTATCTTGCGCAGTCTGTCCCTGGCCACCTGTTCTATCGTGTAGCGCATGTTCTCAAACTCACCCAGCACACTGTGGAAGTCACTGTACTCTAGACTGTACAGGTTGCAGAACGTGTCCGCTTTCACACTCGCTGTACGTTTCAGTTTAGCCAGAAGACAGATCTCTGAAAAAAATACTTTAAAGAAAATAAAATAAAGATTAACATTTTTAATCAAATTTTGTTTCTTTACCCTTGCCTTTTTTCCATAAATAACTTTGTTCGCAGAAAAATCAAATTGGCAAACTTTAAAACATGCTTAGTTTCTTGAAAATTCAATTAAAATTCATTCATTTAGGTAGTAAGTAGGAATTATCCATTGACGGCTCCAGTTATTTCTTCAAATATTTTTCTTTTAAAAAAAACTTTTCAGATTAGTGGTTTTCGACCTAGTTTCCGTCAGTTCATTTTCAGTTTTTGTTTTAAAAATGAAGTTTATATTATCTATATTATCTGTTATTATTTTTATTGGCTTATTTTGTATTGCTTGGATTTTATTTTGATTTCAAATTTTTTTACTATAGTTGATAGTTCTGTAATTTATCATTTTATTTTTTATTTTGTCTGATTTTATTTTTTCAAAGTTTTTTTTTCGATTAAACGGTTGTGGTTTATGTTTTATAGACTTATTCAACTTATAGTGCGTAGTTTCGAGGGCAAGAGTTTCCGGTTCGACAAAGTCAGAGATTATGAAAAAGTAAAGGAGTAGATTCTTTAATTATTTTTCGTTTTGAGAGGCTTCGGATTTTTTTTTCACTTTTCTCTAAATTTTCAATTTTTCTCGTCAACTACTTAACCGATATCGCCTACTACATTGTGTGGCTGCATAATTCCTTGTTTCTTTTTTTCACCTTACTGCAAGTTCCCCGGCCTTCGAAATTTTCAACACGGGGAGTGTTTGACTCAGTTTGTTGTAATATTGAATTCAAATCTGAAACTATCTTTCCCAAATCTGGATTTAAACAAGCAATCGGAAAAAAAATTTAAGGAAAAATATGATTTTTCCGGAAAGTCAAATTTTGACCGGTTTTAGGAAAATTTTTGATTGTTCTTGAAAAATATCGTACCAATTTTATGATAATAGTTCATTTGAAACAGTAGATTTTGGTCTTCTTGGCTGCATAAGCTGGTACACCATCATTTTTGTAGAAAAAAAGCTATAGCTTTAGGAAAACAAAATAGCTTTCAAAATACCCTGCCAAATCAGATTGAGGGTTCAGTCGAAGGAACAGGTTGCGAAAATTTTTGTGGAGAAGCTGCGACTCCTTCATCTTTGTATGAAGTTTTTTATGACCTTGAAAAGTGTGGTCTCTGATTTCTATATCGTTTTGCAATTTTTGCAATCTTTACTTTTTCGAAAACTACCCTGCCAAATCTGGGATTAAGAGTTGAATAGAAAAACAATGGTTATAGGAATCTTTCCCTGTATAATGTTCTCGCGATTTTCTTTCAATCGAAACAACAGATTGTGAGAAACTTATCTTGTGAAGCAGGTACGCCATAAGTTTCGTAGAAAAACATTTAATGACCTAGGAAAAGTCAAGTTTTGATTTTTCTAAGCTTTTTTTGTCAAACACTGGTCCTACATTGCTGAGGTTAATGATTCAATTGAAAAAACATGGTGTGTGGATCTTCCCAGCATAAACGGTTACTTCCTTTTTTGTTGAGAAGCAGGTATGGTTTTGGAAAAGGCTAATTTTCCACTTGAAAGATTACCTCCCAAGTCGGATTTTGAGTTCATTTAAACGAACGAAAAGTACGTTTTCCCTACATGAACGACTAATACCTTATTTCAATTGAAACCATAAAGGGTATGGGCTGAGAACAGTTTTTGAGATTTTGATTTTTTTTAGCTTTAAGTTTAATTTATGACAGCGGTTTGTTTTCAACAGGTGGTTAAGCCGAACTTTTTTGCCTTTGTTGCTGACCAGTAGTTGAATTTTAACTGGTTAAATTTTCAAACTATTTTTTTGACTCAGTTTTCTTTCTTTTTTTTTATTAACTTTCTTGTAACGCCTTCCGTCTTCTTTTCTATAACTTTCTTGTAACGCAATGTTATTGTTGTATCGCTACTGTTTTATATCGTGTAGAAATTTGTCATCAGGCCATAGATCGAAATAGAAAGCGCCGTAAGATTTTAAAAAAATGAAGAAAAAAAACACCTTCAAAGCATCCAAGTTCTGCTGGTATTTTCTTTCTTAAGGGTGGAGATTTTTTTGAGGTTAATCACCGATTTGTGAATAAATGCACATATCATAGCCTACTTTCAATCCCTTAAATCTTTGAGTTTTCAGCTCGGTTTTAAGACAATAGTCGAAGCCTATAAAAAGACTAAAAGCGTGGTGTTTTCAAATCCCATCATTCATAGTTTACGTGAGAATGCATAAATGATGAGGCTCTTTTTCCTTCCGTTTTATTTTTTTCTGCAGACCATGTATTTTAAGGCTAAATATGGCATTGAAGCTTAGCCAATTATGATCAAATAATAATATCAGACAAATTAATTTTTGCTGTCTTGTAAAACCTTCGTTTTTGACATAAAACTTCTAATTATGGGAAGTGAGGGGAGGGGGGGGGGGGTTTAACAGAGGAAAGGACGGGAAAAAAGTTGATAAGAGATTGTGATTTTTGTATCAACCTCCAAAGTAGGCGCCATCGATGAGTTGAGCGACTACTGACCCCTCTCGTGTGATCACATCCAAAGTCCCAGTCTGTATGAAGTACATTTTGGTCCCTATGCTTCCCTCTGTGATGACGTAATCTCCTGAACAAAACACACAATCGCATTCAATGCTCATCAAATTGCATTCAATGCAGGAAGTTTTTGACTGACAGCAGTAATATACACCTGTGTGCGATGAGTATCCAAATTAGAATTTTAATTGACGTCTGGTTTGTAATATAAACGCAGAATCTCCACTAGCTCCGTATTCCTCTCATTTATGTCACATTAATAATACCTTCCTGATATTCATGTGGCAATATTCATGTAAGTTGAACTGTGCCTTTAAAATAAGCTGTCACCTTTAAAATGTTTCATATAACCGATTGGAAAACAAAGACTGCTCATTAAGGTTGTTTACAGAACTGATCGTCCAACAAATTGGCTGAACACATGTTGGCCAGACCCTTTAGGCCAATGGAGCCGAAAAGTGAGTTTAGAAGCAAAGCTACGTCCAATTCGTGGCTCCAAATTGTCGAATAAGTTAAAAGAGGCAAGCGTAAATGGTATTGTGTATCATTCGTGAATGTGAACTTAATTTGTGGAAAAGAGTAGATAGTTTACCTGGTTGGTACACTTCGAATTTGAGTTTGGCCACCACAGCTGATACGAAGAGTGGGTCTGCACCCTTGAAGAAGGGCACCACTCGGACAAGGTCACGGCAGTTGTAATTGAGCACCTCCTACAAAACAAAACACAAAATATGTTCTGGATCTACTTAACAACCCCCCCCCCCCTCCCTTTCAAGAACGGGTAAGAGATTCTTTAGTAGATACAATAGATGGGAGATTGTTAAGTAAACCTATGTTCTTGTTTACCTACTTGAACGGTCGTTTTATGCCTGGAATTCTAAGAGAGACTATGGTTTTTTAAGGTTGACGGTGAGGCGGAATAGTATCCGTCTTAAATCACGAGGTGAAGGATTTGAAGTACAACATAATCTCCGTGCTCATTGCTTGCAATTTTTCCCAGAAAAGTTATCAAGAATGTAGCATTTGTCTTAATATGGGCACATCAGTGTTTATACGTATAAAGTTAATCCTATCATCCTAGCTCATAAGTTTATCCGTATTTTCGTCGATGGATGGTCTAAAATTTTTCTGGTTGTTGTCCTAATGGTACTTCTAATGGTAATTGCAATCGAAACCACGTGTAATTTTTTACTCTGCTGAAAAAATATAAAAGTAAGTATAATTTTACAGATTTTCTGAAAATATATTCCGTCCGTTCAGATGAAATTTGTGTTCGTTTTTTGAGTTTTTCTATTTTAATCATCGGTATCACGAAAATTTGCGGATATAACAGAGAAATACAACTCCGGATATTAGATTAACATGACTGATTAACTTTTGAAAGTTAATTAACCATTGTTTCTTGGCAATTTCCTTTCTTCAGAGGTAGGCCTTTAATTCGGGGTCGAAAGAACATCCGAAATAACTGAATATTCAGTCAGTTGTTCCGGTCTGAGGTATTTAGTTCTGCTCAACTAATTGCAATCTGTTCATTCTTAAGGTGCTGCCACTGCCTGGCGCTAATTGGTGCTTATGCTGCCTTTCAAGTCGAATACAGACTCGCTACAAGTGCAGCATAAAAACAGAAGAAAAAACGTCATAGAATTGCATGTTAATTAAAGTCAGTCAGTTTTCGATAGCTTAAAAGGTCGTCTATTGGTTGAGCATTCGAATTATCGAGCATGAGAATAGCCCCCTATTTGTTTTCATACGGAATCGATGTATCTCGACTATTTGATATATTATTTTGATCAATAATGCAGTTCGGTTCGTTCAGATTGCAAGAGCGTAAAATGATCATATTCAGTGCAAACAGCTGTCGAAAAATTCTGACGTAATGGCATTGATGCGAGTTGAACATTTGCCGAAATGGTATTCCAAAATTCGATTAAAAAGTCACCTCATTTTCACAAGGGTCTCTTGTAGTAGAAATTGAGGGAAGCATTTTAGACAGTAAGTCGATATAGTCTGCTCTGTCAAGATCTTAAAATTCAATTTCCAAATTGAAAAGTTGCCAATGATTGCTAAACTGAAGTTGACGCTTTGCTATAAAATCTGTTTTTTTTTTCATGACTTAGGCAAGTCTTCTTATTTTATCCCACTACACTTAACAGCGGGATTTAGACGGGAGACATTGGAGCCTCGGTGAACCGTATTTCATAAATCACTGTATTTGTAATTGTTTGGGGCTACCATGGCTCCCTGGCTCTTTTTATCACTTGTCTGTCAAAGAACCTCTCAAGCTTGTAGCAGATTGTAAATGATCATTATCATCTACCAGAGCGGAGACATAATATTTGGGTTTAATAGGATCAAGTTTTGTTGTCGAGTTTCAAATATCTTTTTATGACCAGGTGACAATAGTAACCTTTTTAATTCTCTTTTAATGACTGAGTTTGAAACATTGTTTCAAAGTTCGCGACTTCTTATTAGATCTTCCGAGCTTGTTTTTGATCAAGTAAAGAACAAGGTCCTGCTGTTCGACTGAGTCCCCTAAGTATCGAGTATTTCAAAATTTACACGAAAACTTAACATTGCCTAGCGAGTTGTATTACACCGACCACAGTTTCTTTCGAAAAATACATAAACAAATATAGGAGCAAACAAGACTGCTCCTTAATCCATATCGAATAGTTCTTGGTACAGAAAATATCGAAAAACTGTAAATTTTGGACAATATCAAACATCAAGTGTGAAGTATAGGGTAGAATGGCATAGGGTAGATTGGAATAGGGTAAATTGTCATGGAACCGAAAACTTGAGTTGTACGAAACTAATATGACCAATTAGCTTGCCTCAATTCAGTTTGGAACGATGGTTGAGCGGGATAATTTGCCATGCAATTCGCATTAAGCTTTCAGTATTATGAACAAAATCTTTAAAGCGCGCATAATTTAGTCCAGAACATGGCCAAATTGACAATTTTCTAACTCCCGGAACTTAACAAAAAATAATCGGGGGTATAATATCTCTTTACATTTGGGAGTCGATATCATCAATGGGTATCAAAGAATTTTGTTAAAAACTATTATTTCGATCGCCGAAAATTGACTGCATAAAAAAAAACACCCCAAGCATAAAAATTCCGTATTCTTTGAAAGTCGGAACGAAAAGGCTAGAACAATGGGTTGCATTGTGAACAAACTGACCTACAACTGAAAGGCTCTAAATGAACCTTTTTTGGGTCTTTTTACTTATTCCGCCCAAAATCTCCAAATTTTGCGATTTTGTAGTTTGCTATGGATAAATACAGAGCAAAAACTGATCGCACTGATTTGTTTTGTTCATACGAGTGCGATCGTTTTAATTTTTAGCCGATTTCTAACAAAGCCGAATTTTGATCAGATGTTTGGCATTTTTTTTGCAGCTATTTGTTTTTCTGGTGTGGGTAAAACTGCAGGTTATTTTTATCAAATTTGAATAGTTTTCAAAATAATTAATATTTTTTGGCTAGTTCGGCTTATTTTTGGCTAATTCGGCTTAAAATTGTAAACAAAATATTTTTAAGTGGTGCTGAAATTTGATAGGCTAATTATAGCCAATCAAATTGAAGTTAAATAGTTTCAGTTCAAGATCAAAATGTTGAATTATTGATTTTTGGGCGGATTAAGTAAAAGTAAAAAGACCCCTTTTTTGCTGAGTATATTAAATTTGAATCAAAACTAGCGAACGATTTTGAAAATATTGCGGCGTCCTAAAGAGTTATCCATAAATATTCATTGAGAAAATAAACCTAAAAATGTCTTTTTAATTATAAGTTATGCTCAGCTAGACCTAGGTCCTTTCATTTCTAGCCATAAGTGTTTGATTTATGTGATCACCTCTTTCAAATCTAGTTTGATTTTTCTTCTCGATCTTGTTCTTGCTTGATTTGCGATTATTGGGCCCAGTTGACATGTCGAGATACTTAATTTTCAGGACTCTCCTCTCCAACTGCGCAGTTAGTTAATAAGGGAGAGGGCTGTTAGTTTTATTGTGAATTGGTTACCGTGCAATTGTTTGTTTTCACGAAATGTCTGGTAAGAGGCCTGGGGGGATCGAGTGGCATTGGAGGGTGAAAAGACCATGGGCCGGCGGGCTTGAGGTTATTGCTTGATATTGTGCCAAATGACCCAATAAAATGTGCGAAAATAGTACTTAAGGACAATAATTTTTCAAAACCTGACCTTCTAAGCAATCTTAACTTGGTTAGGTACCAGAAATAAGCATGACTTTGGAATTGTGTTTTTGAAACATTTCAAAAGTTATCACGATTTGGCGCAGTAAATAGTACCATTAAGCTTCATGGATCAAAATTGTTTTATTGTTTTTATTCGGGTAGATTAAACTAGAGTATTGAAAACCCCGCCCTGAGTTCAAAGTCCACGTGATCGAAAACATGAAGTTCGACCTTGTCTTTTGACACTCGCGATCTCGTGAACATTCTTTTGGTGTTTTCGTGTAAAATTTTACCATCTGACAACTTTTTCTTAGGGCTCAAAAGTGAGTGCACCGTATATATTTGACCGATTCATAATCGTTCAATAACTCTCCTTAAGGACTTAATTGTCCTTGATTTGAAATTGAGCGTGGCTCTAAATAATCTATTTAAATTAGGTTGTGCACTGACTTCTCGTAAGCAGTCGTTGAGTTCGTCCAGGATGTCCTGTTCGTTGAACATCTTGCCCTTGTATTTGTACTCGTAGTACTGGTGCACCCGCACTTGCAAGTCGGGCGGCAGCTTCCGATGAGTCATGTACTGCTCAATCTGCTTCATCTGAAATAGAGAGACAATATTTAGGAGAAGTCATGCGGAGAAAGCAAGAATTAACTGGCAGCCTACGAAATTAACTGGAAACATGAGAAATTTTGTTAAACCTGATTAAAATAGCGGAAAGAGAATTTTATTTGCTGAATTGGCTAAGCGTAGCAGCTTAAATTTTTGTCAAACATGTTTTTAATTTAGTGCCTCAACGAAGCTTTCACTTATTCTTTCAAATACCTCTGACTTGGCAAGTGGTGAATAGCGTCTTTACTGCTTGTAAACGGATTAGAAAAGAACGATTATTTGCTACAATTATGCCAAACAGTTGAATTTGAAACAGGGTTTCTATTTGGACAAGCTGCCAATTGCTTGAAATAACAGTCAAGTACATGCACTTCTTGTCTGGGAATCTGGAGTGAGATTATGACGTCTGTATCTCGAATTCTTCACTTGGTATTTACTCAAGGCCTGTCAAGCTAATAAACTTCATATTTAATAACGCTAACTAAAAAAAACGATAAAGGCAGCAATGAGTTGTCCATTGAGCTCAATAAAATTGTTTTTTTTTTTTTGCAACTTCAGCAGTTTTGTTTAAGATGTGTACCTTTTCGCTGTACTGTCTTCGGGAGCTGTTCAACTGCTGGATTATATTGGTTGCCTGTCCGATGAAGAGGGCGTAGCATGTAGCCCCACTCAACATACTGACCATGACCAGCCACAAGTCCATCATGTTCGCTGGCGCCCTCTGTCCGTACCCGATACCCAACATGTGGGACATGGCACGGAATAGAGACCAGCTGTACTGCTGCTGCCACGAGGCTGTCTAAACAAAAGCGGCCTTAAAAAGATGCCTGCTCATATCGTTCCAGAAGAAGTTTATGCTTATTTGCTTATTTTCAATATGACATCTGGATCGATGGGACCAATTTCGGGTCTGTGAACTACCTTCAGATATGAACATTATAAGGTTTTCGTCATCTCTAATGAAGAATCCAGTCGCATGCTTGTCGTTTGATCTCATGTTTGTTGAATAGGTCTCTTTTACAAGCTGACGTCTCAAAATCTGACCACACCCATTTTTTGGTTTTGGTAGTTTGTTTTGGAATAGGGAGTTACTTCGGAAAAAGGAGTTGCATGGAAAATTGTACTCTCAGCTTTTAAAAGGAAATAGTTTCCAGAAATACTGGAATACAATTAAAAATATTTTCAACAAATATTAATCCGGCGGTCTCAGTTTTGGTTCAATTTCGTCTTTAAAATGCCTGGTGGCTGATTTAATGTTTCAAAATCTGTTACACTATGTGAACATGGAAACGTCTATTCCGATCGCGGTCTGCGACTTATTTTATAGTCATAAATGAGACAGCTTTTTCTGATGCGTAGCTCTGTCTGAAGCATAACTGTTTAATATAACATAAAAATGTCATTGGCGTCAGAGATATTGGTTCTGCACCAAGAGAGCTTCCTTGTTTGATATCCATCCAACTCTCAAGAGAGGTAAATATGCTCTGGCAAGAATCTTTTCAATGAAAAAAACTTTTATGCAATGATGCTTGTACAAATGTTTTGTTAGATGTGGAAACAATACCAAATTAAGTAGTCTGAATGAGCAATTGGTAGTCAAGTTTTTTTGTTTTAGAAAAATCACGAGATTTGGAAATTAAGTTTTTTTTGTCGGAATGGCTTTTCTGTGTCATTCGAACCACGGAAAATAGTTTCCTTAAAGAATTAATTTTTTTCTGCTTTTTATCTAGTCGGCTGTTCGCTTTTTCCACTATCTTTGTCCACTCTGTATGATAGCATTATGCTTGTTCTGCTTGAGGATATATTCATTAATTGAATTATATTTCTCCGTTTCTCACACTCCTCCCATTTTAATTATGACAGCCCCCCTTCCAATCCAAAATATTGATCGTAAACTCTGTTAGGCGTCAGCTGTGGACAAATAAACACCGGAGGCCTTGTTTGCTCTAATAACTTCAGGCTTTCAGTTCTCCCCTCCTCCAAGTATTGTTTAGAGGTTGGGTAAGATCAGTTATTTTTGAATGAAGCTAAATTAGACGGACATTTGTATCTAAACAAGAAGCACTTGAGTTTAATTAAATAATCATCTTGACTCTTTTAATTTCTAAAAAACACTCACATTGACAGTGTTTTCTGGTATGGGGAATCGACATCTTATTCATGTTGAACCATCGAAAAGCTATTGATATGTTAGCATAGGTAATCGCCAATTTAGCCCCGCAAGCAAAAACGACAAAAAATGAATTGTTGTCATCTGAAGTATTGTGGTAAGAAAAATAAAGTTTAATTTAGTTCCACAACACAAAAGTTCTCGCACACGAAATATCAATTGCTAAATAGTTAATTTTGCGTCTAATATTACCCTTGCGATAAGCCAGAGTATCGCAATCGTACTAGACTTTTTTTCCCGTAAATAACTTTGTTCACAAGACTCTTCTGGACTTATCTTTACTGGTATCTTGTTTCATAATTAATTCACATTTTTCAGCGTTTCTGGTTCTCTTAGCCTGCAAGTAACTAAAACGCCTAGTACGGAAAAGGTCCTGGATTCGAATCTGAACAGGGCTAGTTTTTTAAAGGGGAAATATTCAGTTTCAAATAATTTTGTCGGCCAAGTATTTGTCTGCTTATCTTTTGTCGACTTAGTTGCCACATTTTGGAATCGTTGTATTTTGCCGCGCGCATTTTTCTTTACTGTTGTTTTAGTGTTACTCCTGCGATTTAAAATTTAACTTACCTTGACTTCGTATTTCCTTTTTTGTTTTGCTTAAAAACTATTCGGTCCAAATTATTTCAAGCTATTTTTATCGGCTTAGTGGCCCAATTTTGGGTCTTTTCAAGGAAATCACAATTTTTACGCTCCACTTTGCACTTCTTAAGTTGATGACGTTTTTAGCAATCGGTTTGTCGAAAATTCTTTTTTTTGCTTAATCGGTTTCGGCTTATTTTAAATCGGCTCGGTAGCCTCTTTATGCGTCTTTTGATGCGCGAAAAAAGTTTTTGTGTACCTGTGTGTTATGAGTGGAAGGGAGACGTAAAATTATTTCATTAGGTTTGAATTTTGAAAAAAATAATTCTGCTCGGGGTTTCTGCTCAGGTGAATTCGGCTTTGCAACCGCTCGGTAAATTTTGTTCCGATGCTGATTGTGCATTCTATTTTTAGGCATGTTTTTTTTTACAACTATCTTCATTCGTTTTGATTGATCTAGTTGTATCGGCAGTTTTGCGAAGCTCAGCTTTGCCTCTGTATGTCAATTTTAGATCAATTTTGTTGCAGCATTTCAATCGGGAAAACATTCTGAGCTAGGGGCAGATTTAGGAGGGGGGCGGACGCCGCCCCTTAAGGGATTCGACCACATCATCAAGCAAAGGGTCCCCTCTTTGGTATTGTTTTATGACATCCATTTTAGGCCGATTAATCCTAAAATATTTCTGAAGGCGCCTTTGGTGCCAATATATACTTATTTTAAAGGGAATCGCGAGAAACTTTTTCATTTTTAAATTTTGCCTGCGGCCCAACATTTTTGGTCAAAATTGGGTCTATAGAGTGTTCTCGAGAAAATCCTGGATTCGCCCCTGCTTTTAGTCAATTTAATAGTATTACCGCGTTAAAAGAAACTGGAAAGATAAAAGTGCGTTTGAACTATCGCAAATTGAAAATTTTCAAACCACTGTTACATAAGGCGAAATGGTCAAAGGTAAAATATCTTGTTTTTTGAACTCAAAACATCCAAATCTTTCAGATGACATAAATTGCTACGAAAACTGTTAGTTGAAAAATCTATATTGACCTGAAGACAAAATGAAAACGAACTTTATAGGTAAACTTTAGGTTATGCATTGAAAAGGCATATCATATTGCTCTCTGCTCGCGCGTATTTATTTTAACAAATAGGCTAAAAGCGTGTTAGAAGTTTGTGTTCGGATGTTTTTCCACGCAAATCCAGGTACTCGAATAACTATCTATTAATTATCTTGAATCCTTTTTGTTCAAGCTGCTGTAAAAAGTGGGTCGCAAGAACAAATAGTCTAATTATTAAAAGTAATAGCAAAGGGTTTCAGTTCAATTGTTGGTTGACATTTAATTTTGAAAATACTTGTAAGAATTCTTATCAAAATCATTAGCTTGTGATACCAGCCCTGATGGGAAGCAATGAATTGCGAATCTTGTACATAAAACATTTCTATGTCGTTGGGAACTATGCCATTTTGGGAGTCCCCCTCCCCCTCCAAGGCTGGATCCAGTTACTTTTTAACAATTGGGGTCATCTTCCTCTCTGTATTCAAGTTAAAGGAAGAGGGCAGTTTTCTGCTTTCGTCGCTGAAGTTTGCTGACTTCGTTTTAAGATCCGCCCATTCAAGTCGAATTATTTGATATTTTCAGTTTGCATTTCCTTTTTACTAGGGATTTAGGGGCGTTGCTCTTAGTTAGAACTGAAGTTTGTTAGGAATCAAAGATCAGCCGGTCTTTCTTATTACTCGGTTGAATAAATAGCAGGTGACACAGCTTACAAATTGGCTGATTTTTGATTTCCTTTTCTGGGAGTGAGGGTCAAAACTTTTGCTGTATTTGTTTTCTTGGCGCTGATTTTCTATATAATTTGACGTTTTGAGTAGTTATTCTGTGACTTTCCTTCCGCTATTTTTCTGTGAATAAGAAGTATTCCAGGAAGCAATAAGTCTCAATTAACCCTCTTTCAAGGCTACTTACAAAAGAAAGAGTAGTAGCTATAAAGTGGGCTGTAGATCGCTTCTTTATCTGCCCTGTTTGTTTCAAATTCAATCTATATCTATAGTCTTTCGTCCGGTTTTTTGATTTCCCTGAACAAAATCGTGATCATGTCATGTCCACGCTGGTTGTAAAGACATGAATTCAAGCATTAAAAGTTCACTTTGATTTGTTTAGTTTGAATTGGAGCTGCATGTTAAATTCTTGGAGTAAATCATTGTTACTTTTGAGAGCTGTTTGAGAGTTTTTTTGGTGAAAAAACTTGACGTCATTGGTGTCATGTATCAGAGCACAGGCAAAGTTTATGAGCATTTTTTCATTGAGTTTCTAAAATTCGATATACTGTTTAGACTTAGTTCTTCCTGTGAAAGGAAGTGTTCTTTTAATCTTTAAAAATTCATATAGATATTTTCGTTCTCCTATATTTAGACAGATCAGATCCGTTAGACATATATGATTCCACTCGAGACATACTTCTCAGGATCTTAGTACTTTATATTTGAACCTCATAATAAAAAAGAAACTAACCGTTTATTAATACTTGAAGTTAAAAACAAGGGTAGCCGTTTACTGTGCAAATAGCGCTGAATGTTCCGACCATAGTCTTGAAAAAAATACATCTTTTTTTCTTCAAATAAGTGTCATTTTTTCTGTGTGGTGTGATAAAAAGATCTGAACTTAAAAAATAGAAATTAGGCATAATCGACACTCATAGTGAAATATGCTAATTGGAAACCAATATTTTCAGAAAATTGTCCAGAAAAACGAAAAAAATATATTTAAAAAAAATTATTTTCAAAATTTAAGTTTGTTAAAAAAATATAAAAAATAAAAAACTCCAAAAATTTAACTTTACTCGAGTAAAACTAAGTTTTCACGGCTTAAATTAAGCTTAAATAGGTTATTGCAAGCTCGCCTTATAAGTTTGAAATTAGACCAAAAATCAACCGGCTTCAAAATGATATATAAATCGACCATTTCGATGGTTATTTGTGGTACCTGATTTTGCGTAGAAAACAAAATGAAACAGCTCAAAAACGTTTATATTTTTACATACTACTGTTATTAATACATACTGTTATGTTTTCTCTCGACACCCAGCAGTCTTCTGGAAACTGAGCCAAGCGCGGAAAGAGAAACATGAAACATCCATTCCAGTGGCCAATCAACAACATCGTGAATATCACATTCAACACACGCACTGCTATGCTGGCCAGATTCAAAATCTAAACAGGTGAACCAAAGGATAATCGGATGTTATTATGCTCACTTTTGATTTCAGAAATTTTTCCCCTTCTCCCCGATCAGTCTGAGGCCATCACCAGTTACGTTGAAAACTGTGGCCATATGTAGTGGCCAAAAAAATGTTTGAAAAGATTCCCGAAATTGTTCGAACTTGGTCACGTTTTGACGCCTAATTTTTTGGTCACGTTTTGATTACATTTTTTTGAACATCTTACTAAGTTGCCATAATGAAAATCAACTCAGATTTTTTTTGCAAAAGTTGAAGGGTTTTTGAAGTCTCCGAACTGCTTGAGTCTAGGTTTCAATTTCCAATTTAAAAATTTGATTTTGTTTTAACAGTGCATCAAACCAACCAGGTTACTGTGTGCACTTGAAATGCTATTTCAGATATTGTTAATCGGCAAAGTCGGCGTATTGGTAGTTAGTAATTGAACCAGCGTTCGAACTTCTAAGAGTTGTAGATTCAGAATTAACTGTTAAATTTCCCCTTAAGTTTGATTGAAAGATTGAGCCGTGTTTTTAGGTTGCAAATTGTTACATATGATTAAAACAAACAGGAAAAAAGTTGTCAAAGCGTTTCTATCGAAGTGTTTCACTACACTAGATGAGAACATGATTTGATGAAATGTGTTATGCTGTGGAAGAATGCGACGAAAAGAAAATCACAAAAAGAAATTAACAAATCAGTTCTAACTGTGCAAAACCCTTCACCGTAAAAAAAATCAATTAGGTGATGATGTTTGACCCTAACGCCTAGCCCATTCAGATTGAGTGTCCAAATAAAAGATTTTTATGAATAATGCTTTTGGATTAGCTTCCATTTTTTGGGGGGCAGGCTTGTAAACAAAATATTACCACCTGTGTTTCGAGCCTGTCAACTTGAACTATGTTTTCGTAGTCTTGGGTTGTTTTAAGCTGAAAAAAAAATGAAACGGAAATGATATTATCCCGACACCGAAAGACTGTACGAACCGTGTTTATAGCGTTACCGACAAAAACCTAAATCAACCCATTTTTTTGAAGCATAATTTGTAGAAAACTGAAAATAGTTCATGTTCATTTCAAAAGAAATCGTTGAAAACAGTTTATTCATCTCTAGGCACTAATTGAAGCATCCGGTTTTTGACATATCAGAAGATAAATACTATTTGTTTAGATATTTAAGAGTCGATGAGTGTAATTTTTTTTGTTTTTTTTTCCTTTTTTTTCAGTTCATTTCCTTTGTTAAAAGAAGGCGAACTCCACTATCGAACAGCGAAAGTTAAAAGGTCACAAAAAACGTGATCGACTTCTGTTTCGAAAATGGAATTCAAGTTTCAGATTTCCCAGCGAGATAAAAAAAAATTGCCTATTGATCCAGTTTTCTCAAATTGGTTTAAGCTTAGCGAAAAAGTGCCAATCATCAATTGTTCCGTAAATTCATAGAGCTTTAAGGGCATCTATTTGTTTCTTTTAAATTCGAAAGTTGAAATTTTTTCGTATTTTTCTTTCTGTTTGCTTGCGTTCATTGACTCTTTTCCAACTGTCCGTTGGCTATGTTTGTTAAATTTTAATGGAATCGCGTACTTTTTTCGTCCTGTATTTGTTTTCATTCGTTTTTATTTTTTTAGTACCGCCTAATTTAGTTTCATGAAGTTCGCAGTAGAAGCTTCAAGATGGCGTCCTTTTTGATTTTATGCAGTTTTTTTTCAATAGAATCGCTTTTTTTTTAAATCAACCGTGGCTTTTTAAACTCGTTCATAATTCTCGAAACAAAGGAAACTTTAAAAACACTGGAATTAAAAAGCGTGTTTTAGAGTAAAGAAAGTGTAAATGGAGTGTTGTGTATTCATTACTAATGTGGTTGCTGAATTTCAGTTCGATGTATTAAATTATCTGTAGTTGTTTATTTTATAATAGTGCCCTTAATTAGAAGCAAAAAGAAAGGGTGGCGGTGCTTCAGTTTGAAGTAGAGAAGCGAAGGATTTGTGCTCCCGGTCACTTGAGCTTTATTAATTGACCCTGAACATTTCAAAGAGCTCATCAGCTTAATAATGCATGAAAATACTCGATCCTTTTGAGTCTGTAATCCAAATAACTTAGAGTTAGAATGTTTATGATAAACAGTTATGTTAGAAGTCAAGATGAAAGACAAGCAAATGGCAGACGGCGTCTTCACATTCGTCCGAATTACTCCGAAGTTATACCGTGGTGGATCAATTGAGCAACCCCCCCCCCCCCCACACACACACACAGTATGGGGGAGGGTCCGAGTGCTGCTCAATTGACCCCTCGTGGTTACTGACGATTCAATTCAGATGGAATGAATTAAATTTGTGAACAAAAAACAATGAGTATGCAACTGATGATAATGATGGTGGTTCATTGTGATTAGTATTGGAATCATATTGGCTTATGGTTAAAACTCGGTGAGTGAAATTGTCGGATCTGCTTAATAAAATCTTACACCCATCCTATCAATCTCATTTTCCAGCATGTTTGAGGTGCTCATGGCTTAGGTATATCAAATTCCCAAGATTTGTTCCCTGATTCATTTGGATATGATTGAAGAGAAATTTAGAACCGGGTGGATCCAATTTTTGAAGGCTATCGGAGATCTGGGAAAGGGCTTAGTTATTAAGTTGATCCGAGTGAAGCGGTTATCTGCGTTAATAGAGCTGTCAGCATTAAGTACTTAGGATAGCAAAGCAACCACCTTTTCTCCGCGATTCAGCACGCCTGAGAATACCTGAAAGTGTCATCAATCTGTCAACTAAGTAATGCAGCATCATCAGCAGCAGCAACTAGGCTATTCTATTATAATCATCATAACCAGTTGAAGCTAATGGTCACTTGTTGAGAACTAATAGGATCTAGCCTTTATACCGGCTGTCATGAGAAGAGTTAGACGGCCAGACAATTGACTACTTGAAGGCAGGGGCGTGATAGAATATATTAGGGTAATGTATTTTGAAGACTAAAATAGGTTAGAGTTCATTCTGAAATTTTATCGATTTAAAGAGAAAATTATGACATGGAAAATACCTGTCGCTGTATTCATTTAAACAATATGTTCATTTGAGTGTTTTCATTTCAGAAATTGATCTTGAGTCCTAAAAATGATATCAACCGATTCAATATTTTCAAGTCTACCGGTAGAAATACAAAATGTAAGCAACCGAAGTAACGGAGGTTAGTAGCGCGTAGCAAGTGTGTAGCATAACATACCTCTTCCCACTGGCTCGCGTATCTCAGGAGACGTGTGACTCTGAGGAGTTTGAGCAGTGTCAGAAGTTTTGCCAGGCGCAGGATCTTCAAAGTGCGGGAGGCACTTGCATACGTGGCACTTCTGTTGTTGCCTGCAAATAAATTAAACTCAAATTCGCTTGTTCAGCCTAAATGAGAGCTGTTGGAAGCTTGTTAATAAGCTGCATCCTTATCTGACTGTTAAAGCACCGAAATTGTTGATTGTAACAATATTGGATGGATGAAAAAGAGAGCTTGCCTGATCTGTCGTAGACCTTAAGTATCATGTCGAATGGGAGTGAGGAGATGAGGTCAGTGGCGAACCAGGTCTTCAGGTACTTGGTGAGGATGGCACGTGGCCGCAGGATGATCTGAGTGGTACAGCTGTTCGTCGGAATACCTAATGCGAGTCACAATTCACAAGGTGATCAACATTCATAATTTCTATCTTGCTATTGTTTAAAATTCGCCTCCAGTGGTCTGGAACCCCATAACACGCTACTGGTCTCAGTGAACAACCAAAAAAGTGTTAAAATGGACATAGCAATTGTGTTTTGTTAAAAATTTGAAGTATGATTAGGTGTTACCTGTTCTGAAGTTGAGCACGAGGTCTGAGATGAAGACGAGGTCGTTGATGAGATTAAACACGAACCAGGTCTCGTTCGTGTCTCGGTCGTCGAAGAAGGCGATCGCAATCGGCAACAGCACCAGATTAGAGATCAGTAGCAGCAGCATCAGGAAGTCCCACGTGATTCTAAATGACAGAGAATTTTCTTTGTTTGGTCAATTAGCACTGATGCAGTTAAATAAAAAAACACGAAGTATACTTTTCCCTATAAGGAAAGTATCGCGTAGGGGCCACGATTATTTTTGTTTCCCTTTTTTCTTTGGAAGACGTTTCCAGTGTTAACGAGTTGGCAAGGTTAAACTTGTTGAACCGTTTCTACAAAATTTTACAACAGTTCATTTTTATACCTAATTGTTCTCAATTATTCTTATCACTGCCTATTTGGTTTGGCAACCCAGTTGTCTCTTATGTTTCCGGCTTCTTAGCTTGCGGATCTATCATTCACACTTAACTCCATTTTCCCATTCATAGAAACCCTTTTCCCATTCAAAATTCGTATTGTCGGTAGTTATAGGTCGCAAGTGTAAAGCTTGATCTATCTCTGGTGAAGCTCTTATGGATGACTGTTTGACATAGTGACAAGTTATGAATTCAAAAAAAGTGTTAATATGAAGACAGCTCTAGACTCGATAAGCAGCAGCTAACTTGCATTATCGGTGTTTTTCTTACATGGGGTTTTTGATTAGTTTTGTAAATTATAGGCAAATTGTTTCCATTTTGAAAATGAATTTGAAATGATTATTATAATTCTGAAAACGACAGTATAGTTTCAATTAGCAAAGTAAACATGGTAACAAAGGCATAGAAGTCATTTCAAAAATGGTGGCATTTGCACTAACTTGGTCTTCAAACGCAGATAATTAAAATAGCCCCAGCCTCAAATAAATGGCCGCTCGTTTCTTTCTTATGATTTGAACTCAGATGGATAAAAGAAAATTGATTATCGTGAATTCCCGTGACTCCGTTTATTATTTGATCGCGGAAATTGAGAGCCGAACTTTGACATGTTTGACCGCACCTTGTTCAACTTCAGAAGTTTTTATCACATTTGCTCTTTTTCTACAGCTGGTTACTTAATTGTTACATCAGGCGTGATTTTAAAAAAGAATGAATGATCGCCCTTGTTTTTTCCTTGAATTCTAGCAAAATGGTGTAAAAGATTCCAGCAAAATAGTTCGAGTTATCGTAAATTCACATGTTAACGCTTACGATTAGCAGGCGTTATGAAATCGAAATACTTTTTTTCAGGTAATAAAAAAAAGGAACACTGGCTTTCTTGAAATTTGATATATAATAAGAAATATTATTAAAAGTGTACAGGCAGTGTAGAAATTGAAAAACTTGTTCGACAAAATCATTGAATCATTTGAGCCAACATTTGGCAAATTTGTTATTATGTCTGGTGAACAGATAAATTTTGAGCATGTCTGCTTTTTAGATGAAAGCTCTTTTCAAAATTTGTGTTTGAAATGTTTATAATGAATTTTATACACTTTATTTTTTTTTTGTTTTTGCACTCAGGCTTTCACTTATCTTGTATTGGGTCGCTTGAAGAGCGATTATATTTTTTGTTGCTGTATGTACAGGGAAATATGTGAAATTGACAATTGATGTAAATGTATAATTGATATAAATGTATGGAAATTTTGGTGGATCTTTTATGACCTTTTTTCAAATAATTTTTTTTTTCAGTTAGTGGTATTCTAGTTTTTCTGTCAGTTAGCTTGCCATGTTGAGTTCGCAAAGGTATGAATAAGCATAGATATATCAGTTAGTTATGTTACAGCTTTTAACGAATTTATCGGACAACGTCTTAAATTTCTGAAATAATTCTGACATTGAGACAGTGAAAAAGAGTTAAAATTACAACCGAATTTTCAAAATTGTTTTTGAACTGTAAAAACTGACCTCTGAAAAGCGCAATCATTTTGGTTTGCTCTTCTGACAGTTAAATAGTAATTTTGAAAATTCGACCAGTATAGAGCAACATTAGTCTGAATTTTTGTTTCTATCGCATTTTGATTTTCAGATCCATTTTGTTTCAATTAGTTCACCCTAGTCAACTAGTTCGTTTTGTTTTTGTTCTATAAATTCTGAAGACTGTGTAGTAACCTAAATTTTTGGCTTCTCTTAAAAACTTGCTATGATGTCTTCAATTAGTACAGGCCATGATTTCCGGTTTGTAATAGAGGATGAAAGGGGTTAAATAAAGTAGCAACCTGAACACGCTGAAGGGATGTATGATCCAAGGCGCTTCTTGCATACATCTCTCACGCTCTCTCTTCACTGCTTTTTTGCTCCCAAATATTCTTATCGTGAATCTGTTGAGTGCAGGGTAGATTAGATACTGCAGGAGCTCAAGCACTTTCCTCGAACAAGAATGAACCTAAATCATTGGGCCAATTGTATGCATTGGTTGTTAAGAGTTCGACGAGTTTTAAGTTTAAACACCAAGATGCAAATATAAATCCAATTTGTCTAGCTTTCGTACGGCAATGACATCAAGATAGTTGCTTCAAAGTTGTTGGTCTGCATTCAAAAATTTCGAAATGATATACCATGATGGTTATGTTAAGAAAAGTATGAAAAAAATGACCATTCACTGACCTTACGTGAGTCCATGTTTAGGTGCTTTTGACTGACTCCATTGGAAGTATTCACTCCTGGTCCACCGTTCTCAAGGTCACTGACCTTTGCACTAGGTATGTTTTTCATGCTGGAAGTTACAGAATCTTCTGGACAGCTTTGACCGTCCAACTCGTGAGGCTGATGAAGATCGAAGGTGAGATGAAAGTCTGCTGGTTGGTTGAAAGATTTTGGCTCCAAGACTTTTTTGGCCTTCACCAGAGTAAGCACATCATCTAAATTAGTCGAAAAAGTAGACTAAATTAAATTAAAGCAATATTGAGATTTTAACTAAAATGAGATTTCGATACTGATAAAACTCATGTCAAAAAATAGTTGGCTGATAAGAATTCACTCGAAATTCATCTGATGAAAGGAATAAACTTTAAGGAGTTCACTGACGTCAAGAAGCTCGATATGACATGCTTGGGAGTTTTTTACTTCTTAAATTCCGTTTTTTTTTTTGCTGGCTTGGCTTTCGAAGTCAACTTTCAATTTTTAAAGAGAAACTTACACAGTGGTAATAAAAACAAATTGTTGTTCCGACTTTTGAAGACAGTGAAGAAAATATATGCTCGGGGTGTTTTTTATTCAAACTAGTATCACAAAATTCATTGCTTTTCCATCACTGGCTCGATCCCTTGATCCACATGGGCCCAGCCGTGTGTGCACACTACTATATAATACTGCCACAAGTGTTTAAACTTCTCGTTTTATATTTTACACATGGCGAATTATCCTGCACTACAAAACGTTCCAAATTGAATTGAGGCAGTTAGCTAATTGATCTGATTAATTCCATGCCATACTCAAACTTTAACACTTAAAATTTGATATTATCAGCCTAAAATTCATACTTTTGCCGATTGTTAATTTACCAAAAATTATTCGAGACCAATTAAACAACTTCCAAACTAGAAATCGTTCCGAATTGATTGAAGCAGGCTAGTTTTCATAAATTCTACCGTACTAGGAGCGAATTTTATCACTTGGTACTCAATACGGCGTGTGGGGTGATGATTTTCAAAACAATCTTGAAAATTGAAAGAAATATAAATTTGAAAAATTCATCAATTTTTAGAAAACAAACAGCTTCATAGAATTGAAAGGCAATCTGAACATTTACCCTACATTATTCCCCATTGAAGATATTGGCTCCCTGAAACAAAAGTGTAAAACCTATTTTACCTCCGATCCCTTTGCAAATTTCTGGGGGTTTGATAATAGTCAATTTGGTCATGCTCTGGACTAATTTTTTCGCGCTTTGAAGATTTTATTTATAAGGCTGTAAGTGTAATGCGAATTATTTATGCTTGTCAAATTATCCCGCACAACGAAATCATTCCTAATTGAATTGAGGTTAACTTATTGGTCGTATTAGTTTCGTACTACTAATATTTTCTCACTTGATCTTCGATGTTGCTCAAAATTTATAGTTTTCCAATATATTCTTTCATCAAAAACTAATTTTAGGGAAGTTGGAACATTCAGGGCTTTGCACTGATATACGGGCAGTCGTGTTTCAATTTCTATAGTTAAATGAAATCATACTTGCGATTAAAATGGAAAGATTTTGCTTGAAATAACTCAAAATTGTATTCAGAGTAGCTAAATCTGTTTTAAAGTCCTATGAAAGTTCAAAATAAACATTGATTTTCATAAATTTTACGAAGCAGTATGCTAACGAAAACTCGGTGAACAGACTTATTTAGATGATGCTAATAAAAAATTTTGCTGATTGATGGACGTGAAACTATTTTCAACAGACACTTAAAAGCGAAAAACCAAAACTTATTCATCAAAAATATACGATAACAAATAACCTCAATTATCTATCGGTTGGCAAGATTTCAAAAATGCTTTATAATTAGCGTGCATAAAACAAACTTTTAAAAAACCTTTCTTAAGCTGAACAAATTTCAGACCGGAAAAATAAGAGATAGGATCGATATTTTGAAAAAAGAAAAGGAAAAGGTAACTTGATATCATTTTTCCGCATTCAATTAACTTCCAAACTAGTTTTCAAATCTGCTTATCTTGAAAAATTGGAGGAAAAATGAGGAAATAACTGAGCTGATAGTTAAAGATAATCAACTAGGCCCAATCAACAACAAAAAAACGATTATTTCTTAACTTTCAAAATTATTCAATTTTTCAATTAAAGTCAATGATGCGAAAACTAAGCTGACAAAATTATGACTCAAAATAATCCGAAAATTAAATTTAATAGAAACACAAAGTTTCGGGTCTATAAAAAAGTAGAGGTTCTACTGGAACACCAGCCCTGTGGCTGCCCAATCATCGAATTTATTTCGAGGCCAAATGAGACGAAGCAGTCAAAGAAGTAGAAGTTAATATACGGCAAGTTGATGTGCAAATTTTGTGGACAAAGTTAATGTGTAACGGAAAAACGTTCTTGCGCCCTATTGCAATATCCTTGCTTATCGAAAGGGTGAAAAGCTTGATCCGTTTTTCTATAATTGCATAATTTTTTTTTTATTTTACCATTAATTTGATCACAGAATTAGTTTGAACTTAGCTGCGCTTGAATACGATTTTTTCTAAATTAAGCAGCTATTGCTGCCAGCGAAGGTTGTGTTATCTTTCAAAGCAAATTTCCGTAAGGAGTAAGTCACACTTTCGTACACTCAGCTGCTGGTTTTCAGATTTTGTATTCAGTATCTGAGTTCATTCGAATTTTAAACTGATGCTTTTTGAATTAAATCTGCTTACAGTCTTTTATTTTCTGCTTATATCAATTATAGAGGAAGATTAGGAGTATTTGAGGCAAACAACTCCTAATCGGCAGCTCCTCCTTTTATTCTTTTTTTTTGCTATTGTGAAATAATCAATTGATGGTTTTCCAATAACATAAAATTTTACGTTCAAATGAATATCGTCATCTTATTTGATTGAAAGTGTAATTGATGCGTAAAAGTGGCATCTTTTTAGTTTGACAAGAATATTATCAATACGCAAGATTTCTATCTACTGTAATTTCTTTTGAGTGCTGTTTTAGCTTTCTGGGTTATGACAGTGCAGACAGGACATCTGGAAAAGGGTACCAAATTCAAGTTCAATTAAATTTTGCCAGACGTATTCATGTACTCGCAATTCTTCAAATTGCCTTGCATTTGAGTCGGAACTTTTCCAGATGTCTATCTGTCGTGTCAAGATCCAAAGAGATATTTGTGTCTCTTCTGGTTGATCGCTCAATTATACTGTTGGCAATGTGTATATGATTTTTACGCTATTAAGCTTGCTAAAATTGCGTGAAGTAGCCTCTTGATTTGCATTCATCTAATTACTAGTTGAAGGCTAGTTTTTCAACTTAGTCGAAAATTGTTTTTAAAATGCCCAAATGTAACTTATTAAAAAGTGTTTGGCGATTATTGACCGTGTAATAGTCGCGTTGGCGAGAGTATCGTTTACGTTTGTGTAGTTTGGTTATTAAGATAAAATTCTGTCTGTACTCCCTAAAGTGAAGTTGTTGTAAAATTAGGTGGAACGGATTTCAAAAATATGCGACATATCTCATGGGTTTTCAAAATATTTTGAATGAATTGGCTGGAGATTTGTTTCCTTATCTCTTAAAATGACACTTGTTGGAATTAATAGGTGTTTTTGTGGACTCTTGTTAATCAAGTAGGTATTGCGGGTTGGGTATAATCCACTTTGATCAGAATGTATTATTAGGAACGGATCTACGAATCTTTTCTACTGCGCTGATTCTGCAACATAGCAGAGATAATCAAATAGTGTTGAGGCGGTTATTCACGAGGGAAAGGGCCAAAACACGATTTGTTCAGCTCTTTGCGAAGAATGGCTGATGCGCCCCTTAATCCATTATTTTTCGGTATTTTCTGGGTGTAATGAATATGAATGTTGCCTCACCGGATATGATCATTCTCAGCTTGGTTTATTCCGCTGCACTTTTCAAATTATTCAATTGTTTTTTTTTATAAAGTTACAGCGTCTCTATGGCGTCTCGGAATAAAAAACAGGAAAGTTTATGCTTCGGGTGATTTTTTTATGCAGTGAATTTTCGACGTTTAACTATTTTGTTTTTTTTTTTGGAGCACAAAATTTAAAAAAAATCACCTGTGATCTTTTTTGTGACGTTACAGGGCTTTTGAAGTTGCTAATTTTGCTAAATCTAAATAATTAACCCGCGTTCTTATAACATAAACATATATTGAGTTTTTATAACACGCGTTATCAATGAGTTAGTTTTTTTCCAAATTGAATTGAGGCAAGTCATTTAGTCTTCTTATTAGAATATGAGGCGCTAAGTACATCCCTTTGTAGTTTACATTAACCTGTTGGGGATCAGTTGCATTAGTTTTTGATTATTTTGTCATTTTTTCAACCAAAAAAGTTGTTAATTGGCCTTGAAGTGCAGTCAGAGTATTCAAGGGCTTTGTTTTTTTACTTGGTGGCTCAATCCTTGCACCTTTGTGGGCCTCGCTGGTTGAGCTTACCACTATATTAAACTGACTTTTAATTCAATCTGAAACGAGCGTATTATCCCATACTACAAAATCATTCCAAATTGAATTGAGGCTAATTGGTTTTATTCATACACGCCCCTTAAAATTTGAATCTTAATGCTTCGTGTGTTTTGTATTCAGTCAATTTTCGGCGGACAAAATTATAGTTTTTAACAAAAAAATTATACCATATTGAAAAAATTGACTCCCTGAAATTAAATTCAAAAATATATTTTACCGCCAAACCTCTTTCGCAAAGTTGTGGGAGTTTGAAGTAGGCGTTGACCATTTGACCATTCTTTGAAGTAATTTATGCGCGCTTTTAAGATTTTATTCATAATGCTGAAAGCGTTATGTTAATTATGGAGACCGATCGTTTAGCAGACGAATCTTTTAGCAGAAAAAGTGAAAAATGAGTCTTTTAGCAGACACGTAATAAAGTGATGGATGATTGATTGACAGACTCAAAAAGACGCTCAGTCTGGGGCCAAGTTTCCCCAATTAAGTCAATTATCTCACGATTTGTCAACAAAACTATCAACTTCAAAAACAAAACCCTCTAAATTTACGGCTAAACAAAGATTTACGCGCATAATAACACTCGTGTCGAATTGAAGCGCAGCGAGGCAAGCGGTCACTAATCGCCATTGCCCCCGTTTGAAGTTAGCTATCACATTTTATAATTGTTCTGTGTCTGCTAAAAAAACCTGTCTGCTAAAAAACCTGTCTGCTAAAAACCTGTCTGCTATAAAACCTGTCTGCTAAAATCTCTAGCACTGTTCATTATTTATGTGCGGCGAAATATCACGCACAACAAAATCGTTCCAAAATGAATTCAGGCTGGCTAATCGGTCGTATTAATTTCGTACGACTCAATTTTTTACACTTGAACATTCATGGTTTTGCCATGATATACTAGTAGTCTTGTTGTGTTTTCTGACTTAACTTCTTTGCTTGAAACCTAAAAAAATGAAAGGCCCTGTGAAAAACATTTCTGGAAGATATGCTTAGTCGTAAGTTTTTTATTCTATTTCTCTATCCTCTAAATGCTTTGGGTTGAAATTAGTTTTAGAAGTCTACTATCGGAACAATGATGTTTCTATTATTTTTTTCAGGAAATTCAAATAAAAATAGTTGCAGAAGCTTGATATAAAAAATTTTGATATCTTGAAGTAGTCAATTCAATTTGAAAATCTACCTCAGCAATACGTATGAAATCAAAATTCGAGTTTGGCGGTTGACTCACTAAATATTCTTTTCCGTCGCTCATTACGCTGAATTTAGATGTTAAACTGTTGTCCTTACCAAGTTACGTACAAAGACCAAGTATGCTTGAAATAGGGTAATTTGTAATACAATGTAATTAAACACGTGAAACTTTTGGTCATAAAAATAAATAGTAGAAAGAGTCCTGTGGGAGATCATAAAAAGCCTCGCGCAAGTTGTCGCAAAATGTAAAGCTTAAGATGGTATTTTTTAGTTCGGGGTTCAAATTTAGACAATGAAAGAAGTTTTTGACGCACTTTTTTATATCAATAATTCTTTTTCAACTGTTTTCTGCTTTTGTATTTGATGCGCAGCTTCGCCTCTGTGTTTTATTCTATTCCTTTTGTTTTATGATAAAGGTTTGATTTCCTAAATTTATGAAGAAATCAATATTATTAAGATTCGATTCATTGCGCTTGCGATAAGCAAGAGTTATTAAACCGGAAATAAAAAACCATTATCAAGCGTTTTCTGTAAACAACTTGTCTAAATAAATTACTGAAACATTTGAAACTTGATTTATAATCAATTCTTTTCTGACTTTTCTAGTTTGGCGCATAGATAACGTCCATACTTCCATACTTTGGGCGAAAAAAAAGACGGGTTCGACCCCGGCCAACACTGCTTTTTGCTAAAAATTTCTGTTTCAAAAAATAGTTGCAGCACTCTCGTTTTTCTGCTTGCTACCATATTTGAAGGTCGTTATGATATCTTTCAGTAATGGTACAAGTATTGAGCTCCAAATGAAGAAAAAATGATTCATTGTATTTTCATTTTCCTCTTATCCTCAAGAAAAAAATCAAAACTTACTCTTTTTCTCATACGCGCTTTGAAGCATTTGGAGAATTTTGAGTTTGTCAAACGAGCTTTGAAGAATTATGGGTGTGCTAGGGAAATGACTGATTGTGCTTAATCTTGGAAACATTGTTTCTTGAAAATAATGTTTCTTGGAAACATGGATCTCGGAAATCGACTTCCAAAACTTTGAAGGATAACTATGCATCTTCAGGAGCGAACATGTGATGGTTGATATAATTAATCTATAGTAGGCTGCAAGTTCAACAAAAAACATGAGTTAACTGAGATCTACTTTTTTATTAGGTTGTTCAGTTGTTATGGATTTCTCAGAACCTCCTTCGCAATCTTTTGATCATAAACCTATTAAGTGGAATTTTCAGATATTTATGTCGTCTGTTTGTTTCTTTTTCAGTAAAATGACTCACTTCGTAGTAGTTAGAACATAGTTGAAAGATGCCCGAGGGAAAAAGAGCCCCCCGGCCTTGTCGTGAAAGAACATGTGTGAAAGAGCAAAAACATACTATTCTATGTTGCGTGGTATAACATTTGATTTGTATTGAATTTCGAGCTTCCGATTTGTTTTCCAACAACAAAACTGAAACAGTCGTGAAAACATATTGACTTCCAAAAGGCAATTTCGGAAGTGGATAAATTTTTCGGAATTGAAAAAGTACGTGGATACGGTTTTTCAAAGTATTCTAGTGTAATTAAAAAGAAATCTTAATCGTTTCTTATAATTGAAAGAGGATTACGGTGATGTAATTGATTCTTTAAAATTTAGATTTTTTTCTATCTCAGTTCAGTTTTGCTTTTTCAACTCTGTTGAGTATGTTTTTTTTTTCAAGTACTGAGGTTATAGTTCGAAGTAAAAAATAATTTTCAAATTTTTTAAGAAACAAAGATAGCCTGTTGCTGTACAAGAAGTTCAGAATGTTCGACCCCAACTAATGAACTGAAGGAGTTCAAAAACAGAAAACTTATGAAAATTGGAAAAGATTCAAAATTTTTTGGAAATATGTTTTTTCAAATTATTACCTCATTTGTTTTTTTTTGCAATTATGGGCGATTGAATTCGGTCAAAAGTTGCAAAAGTGAGATGTATAAATAGCTTAATTAATGTAAAATTTGCATGATATTTGAATTGAGAATTCAGTGTAGTTCGTATATTTCGTGTAATTTAGTGCAAAACGTAAAAACTCACACCTCTTTTTCTGAAAACTGCGCCTTTTTTGAATGTTTTTTTTTGAATTGTGGTTTGAATATTAAACCACTCTTGATCTCTACACACTGTCTTTGGGGCAGTCAAAGTTGAGGAAAAAGTATGCCTAGCACATAGTTCCTTCCCACTTTTGCCGGTCTATTTGACAAATTTCTATTGGATTTATTTTCCTAACACCACTTGCACTTTCTAATTCCCAAATTCCGCCAATATTTTGACCGTTTCCAGGGCTTTTTTATTGTTTTTTTTCTTGTTCTAACACATCTAAATGAACTCCAGTTCAAATTCGTTTCAATATATATAAATTTTCAAAAAAAAATCTGAAACAGATCTAACAAACAAGAACTTAATGAAAATTGAAACAAGCATATTGAAATCACAATTGACGGAAATTGATAGGTAAAGTCTATCATTGTAGAACAGTTTCAAAAAATATTTTAATTAAAGGTTTTCCTTATTGTTTTGACCCCATCTCGAAGTGACTGAAAGACCTTTCTCGTAAGTTGTTTTTCGCCCAATTGTGGGATCATCAAGGAAAGTTGGAAGGGGTTAAAGCCTCATAGTTTGTGACAAAACTGCTGCAATTGGCATTCCTCTGTTGATAGGAGGTTGTTTTCGAGCCATTTGCAGATAGTGGTTGCTGCCTGTTGGGTACACCACTTGAAAGTGGAACATTTGAAACCCAAAAATACTGGTGTTAAGTTTTCGGTCATTTAAACAAAATGTATGATTTTTCTCCATTTCTATGACCATTTCTACAAAAAAATTGAATTCAATTTTAAAAAATAATTGGTTAGTTATTTTTGCGGGAGGCTTAACTGGCTGCTGATTTGATTTGATCAGTGTTTTTTTATAATGATAACTGTGGTTGGATGGATCATTCTGGGCTTCCTGTAGAGCAATGGGCTTCTTGTATTGATGTGCTGTGTATCTGTATAAGCCAATATGTCATACACAAGCTCTTGAAACATTTGCTATCTACGTGGCGGGCAGTTTTTTTGCACAATTGACCCAAGGATCAATTTTCAGAAATGAAAAAAAAATTGCTAAATTATCCGCTTTCGGCTAACTTTGTTTTAATGGCCAAAATTTAACACCAATTTTTCTGGATTCCAGAAATTCCCCCTTCAAGAGGTGGGCTCAGTAGACAGCAACAACTGTCCGAAAATGGCTGCAATACAACGTCTTATCAACATGGGAGCGCCGATTGTACCTGTTTTTTCAAATCACGAGCAGTTAGGCGATAACCCTTCCAGCTTTTCTCAAGGATCCCACAGTTGCAAAAATCACCGACGACAAAGTCCTTTCGGTCTATTTGTGACGGCGTCAAAACAATACGGAAGTCTTTTCATTGAAATATATTAAAACATAGGCAATCAGTTGAAAGCAGTCAATGAACACAAGGAAACAGAAAAAAAATTAAGTTTCAAAACTTTCGAATTTTTTTTAAAAAACTTTTAACTTTTGAATTTCAAAGTAGAAAATTTGCCGAAAAAGTCAAGAATATGAAAAGTGAAGTTCAACTATAAAACTTAATTTATGATCTTACCTTGCGTTGAATCGCCATAAACGTGTGGAGTTTACTATTTATAATAGTTTAAAGTATTCGAATTGGTACCTTAGCTCTGAGGAAAAATTTATAAATGGTTTTTCTTCAAAGAGGTGATAAGTGTAATTTGATCAATTTGCTTCACTTGTGCAAACATGATGGATGGTGACTAGGAATCTTTCATGATAAAAACGGTCACTGCCAATCAAAGCGGCCGCCAACATACTTCAACAAAATATTTGAATAACTCTTTTGTGACAATTGAAAAGAAAAATGATTAATTTCTTCTAACTGGTTGTCTTTTTTGTAAGTTTGGTTTGATTGGGAAATCAGTGTAAAGTATTAAGTATTTGGGAAATGTTTAGTCCTAGCTGCAATCAATAAATCGGTGGTTTTGGTATTTTACTTACGTTTCTGGTGACGTTGGCGCGCTGTGATAATAAAAATGTTGTTCACTTATGAAGTAATTAACTGGCAGTCGCTGAGTTACAAATACCGCCTCGCATTTCCACACTTGAAATCTTCAGGGGCAACATAATTCTGGTATCTTCCTTGTTATTTGCTAGCTGGCTGTGGCTAGTCCAGTATTCGAATGTTGGCTCCAGCGTCAAGCCCAATTGTTTTGAATTGTGCATTCAATTGTTTTTATCCACAGAAAGGCTATTTATTGGAGGTAAGTCAATAATTAAGCCCGGGAAAATTTAATCAGCCGCTGCACGACAGACAAAATAAAACAATCTGTTAAATGTTTCAAAATAGATGCCATTTTGTTATTGGCTTCGCTGTTATTCCTAAAATAATAATAATAATAATACTGAAAATACTAACATTACTAATGATAGAATAAAGTTTTTTGGAGAAAGGAGCTGGTACAAAAGATGTAATGCAGACGCCGTCTCCGAATTGAATTTTAAAAATGAAAACGCCATTGGAAAAAATAAATTGATCTCACTGCATAATGATTCTCAAGCAATTTCAAATTTTCAGCCTAGTAAGTGCATTTATTTTCTCCATTTTTCAAAACGTCAGCCAATGGTGTTAAATAATGGTATGTTTGCTGTATGCAATTTCAATATATTTTCTTGTCTTTGATTATTTGTTTCAAATTTATCACACTTATAAATGAAACCACCCTTTTATCAATTCAAATATGAAATTGGGTTAAGTAATCTTGAAAATAATAGCCTGAAAACTGTTTACTCATTGCTCCCGGCTGTAACAAATTTACCTGAAAAGTTCTTAAGTCACGCGAGTTTCTTCAAAATTAATTCTTGTTGGGTTATAACCATTTCACTTGGTGCTTTACAACCTGAGAAATTTATTTATAACGTCTATCCAATTATAATAGAGTAGTTATTGAATAAACGGAACTATTACACGAACGCATTCAAAATAAATCGGAGCTCATGTTTTATTTTCAAATGATGATTGAAGCGATTTTTTTTCAAGGATTCTGGAGTATTCTATCACGGTAAACTAACAACGTTGAGCAAATAATTTTTATGGTAAAACAATTCGATTTATGAAGCCATTAATTTCTTGGTTAAAGATCTTTTATATGATAATACAACTCTTCGCACTGGTATTTGAGACGTATTTTTCTTTGGTCACATCTTCTGGTCTCACCGGAATTGTGTTTGACGCGCCGTCTTTTTAATATGCTATGCGACTGTTCACAAACCAAACTCTTCAGCGATTTGGTAAAAAAAAGAATTGCTTCAGAAATATACTTCACTTAATATTTCATATACTCTATAGGTTCAGAATCGCAGTTTTCACTTGAATCTTTCGCTATTTCGGAGCAAGATTATTTTACTAATAATTTCGAATATCTCACTGAACGATATTCTCGTGTTTTAAATGAGTGTCGTATTTTGAACTGTATTATGAATCAGTTTTAAGGAATAATATTACGCTTTAGGTGATTTTTTCTATTTCACAATTTGGGAGATTCCCTTCTCCCATTTGAACTTTGGTATACTTTAAGTATTTAAAATATTCAGATTCACCTGAATAATGTTAGCTCGATTATCAATTATTTGTTCTTTGTTGTGCATAAAACTGCATTCCGACGAGTATATTAGAAACTGCTGATATAAACAGTTCACCATTGCAATTTGAATAATGGTAAGTTTTTTGCTCGTTTTATGTTAATACTGCGTGATTAAAAAATTTCAATTGAAACTTCGAATAGATTCACGGGGTTGTTGAAGAATTCAGTGCAATACCAGACCCGAGCAACCTCGTTGTTCTGACTTAATACAAAATGGAGGCATATTTTGATAAATAAAATGTCATTTTAAATTTTGTTTTTCGCCACATTTAACTCACCGGACACTTGATTTAAACTTTTGGATCTATATTAACTTTGTGTTAGTAATGAGTAGTTGAATTTGTTATAAACGTTTCATCACGCTTACGGAAAGACTCAACTCAAATTTAAGTTTTGCTCTCTAACATACCTGTTTTCCAGGTCCTTTTTGCTACATTTTCTTTCCAAATTTACCGAAGTGTTGCATCGACCGCGAGCAAATGATCTCAGCTACCATTGCTCTATGAAACTATCAGTATTTGGTTGAAGGACTTAGCGGGCTATCCCGGGTCTAACAATGCCCATCTGCAGTTAGGTGGATTGAACATGGCAAAAAAGGAACAAAAAATAAGTAAAAAAAGTTCTTCATCGGATCTGAAATGTTGCCAGCGAGTAATTTAATGTTCAAAGGGATAATTTTGTTAAGCTCGGCTGTTGTAAAAAAAATCACCAAATTGGGAAATCTTATTGCAAGTGGGAAAAACGAGTTGTTTTGCACCCGGAATAACTTGGTAAATGATTTAAACCGAATTTTTATACTTGCAGAGCGGGTCTATGAGATAATTTGCTCTCAGTCCATCTGAGTTATTGTTCAAACTCCTGGAAATAATCCCAAAGGATTCTAGAAAAGTAATTTTTAGAGAATTAAAGCTTCGTTTGCGTTTTTTTTGTCCAATAGCGTAATTTAGGCTTAATTGAGTGTTAATGTACCAAGTGAATTTTCCCTTATTTAGGTCGCGTGTGCTTAAAATTTTTGCACATTCTAAGTTTTTTGTTCCAGCGCTTGGACTTTTGATTTGACTTTCGAAAGAAAATACGCTCTTAAGTCTCAAAATTGCGAATGGCGAGAAAAATTGTGAATGACCTTTTTTTAAAAAAAAAGAAGGAGAGGTAGAGAAGGAGACCAGTAGCAAAATAAGAGGGTTCGAATCGGGGTAGGGCTGGGTGATGAACTTTTTGGTATACTAGTTAAAATGCGTCCGCTCCATAAATTGAGTATTTTAGTTGGCAATTTTCTTTTTTTTTTCAAATTGACTGGTACTGCTTATGCGTCACTTAGCAATTATTTAGACTCATAATTGGCGTAGGTTACTTATGAAATTTTGTAGACTCAAAGTTTTACTCATTCAGTTTTTCTCAGTATCGTTATCGGTCATATTTTTGCTTGTGTATGCGAAGTGCAAATTCGCCTCTGTGTAGAAAATGCTGCAATCAGACTGTTTTTGTTGCTCAGCAAAATATAAACGCAGGGGTCTTAAAAACCGCCTATTTTGGTAGAAATCAGGTAGACATATCTTAGTGCAAACGTTGCTATAGATGCGAAGAGTGTTTACTTTTTCAAGAATCCTGAGAGAAAAAAATGTCTCCTAATTTTTCGATTGTCATACAGACACGAAAGAAAATAACGGACTGTCGATGAAATTTTTTCAAGTGCGGCCCGCGAAGGCAGTGAAAGCTGTGTTATGTCGACTGTCTTGATGCTAGTAGCTGATTTTAATTACAAAATAACAGGATTGAATTGACTTCTATTTGCTGATTAACTATGCCCAACATGAAAAAGAATTTTTTTTGAGTGATGTGTTTTACTGCGAAGCAATACAGTTGCCGGTGTTAAAAATCTTCTGCTTTGGATCTCGTTAGGTTACAAAAACGCAATACGAGTGTTTTTGGGCAGTTTGTTGATCAAGTCTTCAAATGTTCTTTTGAAAACCCGATCTTCTGAAAAAGTTTTTTTACAAACACCAGTCTACACGCGAAAGAGTGGTTTTTTCTTAATTTTGTCAATCACAATCAAATCAGGTACCAGAAATAAACCTCAGATAGGGTCGAGCAAAGAGGGATGAAAAGTTTTCAGTCGTGATCTTATTATTTGACTGAGTTTTTTTCGGAGCTCAACTAGGCAAATAATTTAAACATAAACACTTAAAGAAATCACAATAAGGAAATCACCGTCAAAAAGAAATGAGGAAATTTATTTTAACGACACTAGTTTCAACTAGAGGCACGCAAAAAGTGACTAGAGGCACGCCTGAATGTCATGCAAATTAGTTGTAAAAGCAGAGTTTGAATTCCACGAAGTTGAAACAGCTTATATATACCATTAGTGAAAGTTATTTTTTGGTTATTTGAGCATTTGGAACACCACCATTGTACAATTTTGTGTTGTCTATTGTATTAGTTTCAAACTTGGACAGATTTTTGGGTTAAGCTGTTTGAAAAAGCAACTCACCAAACAGGAAGTTGTTGATCTCACCTTCGGGTTCGGACGGGTTCATCCTTTCTGCTAATACTTATTCGGTATGACCGATAACGTTTTCTCTGATGCTAAGATGATTATGACTTATCTGAAATAATCAAGACAAAGATACTAACCATACTTGTAAATAGATTTATGTGATTGTAATTAGCAATGACTTAATATAAAGATGGTTCCTAGAAATGAGCAGAAATAGTGTGCCGTATGAATATGATAGCAACCAGGAGGAATAGTCTGGGTTTTCAATTCTGACACAATTTATCAATAACTTTGTTTGAGACTAGATAATTAGATCAGAGTGCTAGGGTAGTCTTATATTGATAATGATGATATACGCTAGGATGAAGAAAAGAAGCAAATGCTTGAAGTGAAGTTTATCGATTCTGAGACAATAAGTCGGTTTGTGATGTGCAATTCCCCCCGCCCCCTCAGGGATTCGACCCCTGCCGACCCAAAGGGTCACCCTTTGTACTATTTTGAAATATCCATTTTTGGCTGACTAACTCTAAAACTTTTCTAAAGGCGCATTAGGCGCCAAAATATACTCATTTTGAGGGCGGAGGGCGCGCCAAAAACGCAAATTTTTTGGTCAAAATTTTCCATAAATTCCTAAAAACGTCTATTTTGGCCTGTTTTTTTTTTCAAAAATTTGCCTGCAGGGCGCAGAAAATTTGGCCAAAACAGGGTCTTTGTAGTGCATTGGGGAGCTCGGAAAATTAGTCTGGACGACCTAAAAAATGGTCGACAAAATGTTCAAAACTTTTGAAAATCCCCCCCGAAAAATCCTAGATCCGAAGAAAAAAAATTCCTATGACGCAGAAAAGTTTGCCTAATGGGTCGTCTTGGTGTTACAGAGACTTTTGAAAACTCCGGTCCCCTCACTGGATATGAAGAAATGCTGCGAAAAATTTGGTGGGTATTTCAGTTATTTCACGCGGTTTCTTTGAAAATTGGCATCCGAAGGATAAGCATTAAATCATTTGCCCACTCATCAGTTAATTATGCTTTGATTTTCAGATGTAATTAAATGCTCCGTTTGGCATCCGTTATTAACACTTACAGAAAATCTGCCAGATTTCTACAGTGTAATTATTGCAGATGTCATGTGCAAAAGTTTCTAGCATCTTCGTGGTCAGATACATGCAATCTACCGAAAGCTAGTATCCCTACTCGGCACAAGGCAGCGAACGATCTGGATATACAAAACGATCCCCTATTTTACTCGGAAAAACACCCGAAGAGCTCGGAAGAGGCTGAAATAGTGCTGCACGATGGACCTCCGTATGCAAATGGAGATCTGCACATGGGTCACGCCGTGAACAAAGTTTTGAAGGATTTCATCGTACGCTATCATCGCATCAATGGTATGAATGAAAGAGTAATTGAGTGGTGCGTAAGTTATGATTGTATTTATTTGTGGAGACTGAAAAATTTCGAAACCCACAACTCGCGCGTGTATGGCAGTTGACTTAGATGCGCCAGACCTGCTGTCGATACACGTAAAGCGCATTGATGTTTCAAAGATTTTTTCTATTTTGTTAAGTTTTTCCTTGGCGTGTTATTTTTTTGTTTGCGAAGTGGAGCTTCGCCTCTGTGTAGAGTTGTTAGATACTGTATACTAGAAGGCTCCGATCACAGTCCTGAATTTTTTGAATATCGGGGGAGAGTAGCCGCAGAATTGGAACTAGCATTCAAAATAAGGTTGAAATTCATTAAAAAATCAGGAGCACGCTATCGCAAGTGTGATTTGGTTTTCCTCTAATTAAAATGTGCTATGGAATAAATGGTGTGAAGCTTTGAAGCATGATTATTTTGGAATTGATCAATTGATCAAAAACATCATGAACACTAAAATTGAATTACTTGGCTCAAAAATGACCTGTATTTTTGTACACAACTTTAATTGATATTTAGAATTCAACTTCACAATTTATTTTAGAAGAAAATGATGGCGAATGAAACCATCCAAAATAATGAAATTTTTGCCCTATATCAATCACATTGGTTGGAAAAATAAAAAAAATTATCACATAATTTTCTAGAAAAACATCTTTGATGTGGAAAATACAAGGCCAGAAAAATCATTGACATGGTGAATTGCATACAAAAGGACCCAGTAGTTTAAAACGTGGGCATGCATAATGCGGGTAAATTAGTAGAGCTTATCTAGAAGAAACAAAGAGAAAATCAGCTAGATGTATTTTGCCAGTTGTTACTTTTCACGAACAAAAAGCAGTTAACTCCAGTAATATAAAGGGCATTAAAACTTATAAAAGCTAATGATTTAACAGAATGAAAGCAAATGCATTAATAACGTCACAGACATTCTCATTGCCCGAACAGTTTGAAGTGACCGTAGTATGTTGATTCGAGGAGTATTTGAAGTTGAAGTCAAATTAATTTTTTTTAGTCTGAATGACTGTGTTTTTCAAAATGATCAGAAGGTAAATACATGTTTTTGAAGAGATAATACGGCATTAAATTGTGGAACCATCTAATGTAATTGGTGATTTGCTTCTGTAGTAAAGCTGAGAATGTATAAGACCCTTAAGCTGAAAATGAAAAGCACTATGCCATGTGGCTCGAGAAATTGGGCCGTGATATATAGTTTGTGGTCATTTTTTTTTCCAAGAGAAAGTCTTGTTCGTTCAAGTTCAAATTTCATTTTTTGCAGTTAGTTGTACAGCAACTGACTACAACGCTTATTTGGACTAATCAGACAAAAAGAATGAACCTAACGATTTAAAACGCATTATTATTATTATGATTATTATTATTATTATTTTATTATCGTAAAATTATAAAAGGTCGTGGGTTCGAATCTGACCAGGACCAGTTTTTTCTAACGATAAATGTTCCGGTTCAAAAAAATCGGCCTATTATTTGTCTGCTTATCTTTTCTCTGTTTAGTTGCCTTATTAACACTCGTTTATTTTAGCTATTATCTGTTATCAGTGTTCACTGCAGTTGTTTTAAGCATTTAAAAAATCTGGCGGAATCGAAATTGCTTTTCACATTGGTTGTAATTTTACCAGCTCGATTTAAAATTTCACTGTTTTTTTAGCTTTTTTTTGTCTTTTTAATCGGTTTAACAAATGTCGGCCTAATTAATATCGACTTAGTGATCTTCTACTGCGTCGTTACGTCCGAAAAAAAATTGACTGACATTTTTATAAGTTGACTTGACTTTTTTGACTTGGACTTTTTTCGGCGTCAAGGGTTTCTGCTCAGGTTTTTTCCGATTTTGTTACGGCTAAATATAAATCCAACCAAACATCCTCTAGGCGAATCTGGCGTAGAGGTAAAACAACTGCTTGAGATGGTAAAGATTTGCGGTTCGAATCCGGCTGGGCCCTTTTCTGCAAACTAGAGTTTTTGTGCTTTTTTGGACTATAGTCCATCTGTTTTTTTTGTCGGCTTAGTTCCCGTAGCTCAATGGTTTAGTTTTTTTTCAGGTTGCTGTAAACCCAATGCTTGAGACGACAAAGCACGGGAGTTCGATTCCATTTGTGACCGGTTTTTCTTGCAAAATTTTGGCTAGTTTAGATTTTTACCTGACTGCTTATTTTCGTCTGTTTATTTCCACAGATAGGACTTTTTTGAAAACTTGGTTTCTGTATGGCATTCCCACAGCTCTGTGTAGAGTTTCCAATGGTGCAAGCAATTTTGTTCCAGGTATTTTGGACTTTGTTAGATTTTTATTGACAAAAGCGACTTTTTGATTTTTTCCGTTTTATTTTCATAGTCATTCAATTTTGTATCGCAAGTGGTTTGAAGCACAGCTTCGCCTCTGTGTTATTGTTATGATTATGAAGATTTAAGAACTTATATATACATACACTAGCTGAAGGCATCATTCTCAGTATTAGCACTGTGACGCCAGCCGCAGCTAAATTTCACTTCGTAAACTGCGTGAAAAAATGACCATGCTTTACACAGAAGTCAGTCTAGCTTTCAATCCAACGGGGTTGAAGAAGTTTAAACTAAGAGGCATGATTTTGACTAATCGTTGAGTAAGATGCCCAAAATTGTTGAAATATTTTAGAGCTAGAATAGCTTTCTAAGAATCTCTTGAATTATCGCAATTTGATTCGATCTATGAAATTTCTTGAAATATTTGAAGCTTCATCGCTTAAATGGCTTCAATAGAAAAAATTGAACTTTTTGTTATCTTATTTGCTACATGAATTAATTTATATCTCAAAGTTTCATATCTGGAGTAGCTTACTTAGAACATTTTTATCTTTGCGCCCTCCGATTTGATTCATGAATTAACTTGAATTGTTTTAAAGTTTCATGGATTGAGAAGCTTGATCTGAACAACTAATTTTTCGCGAGCTGATTAATCATTTGGAGACGGGCTTGCTAGTACTAATATAGGAACAAAATGGTCTCATTTTTTTTTGCTATTCACACTAATTTACCGCTACTATAGTGGACGAGAAAGAGTTTACAGTTATTTTTACTGAAATTAATGCATTGCTCAACTTTTGTAGCTTTTTGAATGCGCTTTTTGGGGAAACGCAATAAAATGGTAAAGTTTAAAAAAAATTAAAAGAAATGTGAAATTTTCCTTACTCTATTGCAATGATAACTGTTGTTGAAACAGTACGTCATACTTGCTCATCAGCGAATTATTGTTGTCAAGTTCTATTGAAAGACAGACTTTCTACCTATTTGGATAGTTTTTTGGTATTTTTCTAATCAAGTATAAAAAAAAACGAAGTGATTTTCTTTTATAGGTCGTTTTAGCTTTGATTTGATTAGTTTTCGGTTGGCTTTTGATTGATTGTCGAATACGCTTAAATTCTATTTTTTCGTTCAGATGTTTATCACACAACGCAGAAAACGCTACTCTTATTTGAAAAAACTTTTTGTATTTTTTAAATGGTCGGAACATTCTGTGCTACTTGATCAGTAGCCGGCTATCATTGTTCATTTTTTGCTTTCAGTATAAATTATTTTGCGCCTTGTTTTATAGTGGGAAACAGCAAGCAGTTACTATTGTTATTTTTGTGTTCATTGTATTTCGAAAATGAAACGCCAATTTATATCCAGCTTTTGAGTGACCACAATTGTGATAATCTTAAATCTAAATCACAATTCTGATAACGAAATCAAAAATATCCTTTTATTTGTATCATTTTTGGCCATTTTTCTGCATAAATGTTCTGCTCCACTCAATTTCTCAATTATTAGGAAGCAGAGCGACTCTCAGTTTTATTCCTGGGTGGGACTGTCATGGTATGCCAATCGAACACAAAGTACTCAAAGTTCTAAAGAACAATAGCCGTTCTACAACTGTCAAAGCTACGACAATAAATGACCCAGTTTATGTCAGAAAAGAGTGTCGAAAGTTAGCCGAGAATTGTATTGATAAGCAAATGGAAGGCTTCAAACGTTGGGGAGTTTCGGCTAATTGGGACAGTCCTTACCTGACTTATGACACGAAGTTTGTAGTCGAAGAACTAAAAATTATTTACAAATTTTTCGAAGCAGGATTGCTTTTCCGTGGTAAATTGCCTGTTCATTACTCGCCGTCAAGCGCTTCGGTTTTAGCCGATTCAGAGATTGAATATAGAGATTTGGACTGCACCGCAGTTTATATTGGACTGCTTCTGACGAAATTACCCAAAAGCTGGAAAACCTTGATGCTCGCTGAAAATTCGAAAATCAATGTAGTAGTTTGGACCACGCAAGCATGGACTGTACCTGCGAACGCGGCTATTGCTTTCAACCCAGGGTTGAAATACGTTTTGGTTTCTGAAGAAAACACCGAGGAAATATTTTTGATTGAAAAGTCTGCCAAAGAGCACCTGGAGCAAAAGCTGAAACGACGTTTGAACGTTTTTAGAGACGTGCAAAGTAATGAATTAGAAGAAGTTGCCTATCAACTAGACTTCGACGGAAAAGGTTTGTGTAAAAATCTAATTTTATACTTTTTTGATCATTTTCATCTTTTTAAGTGATAAATGAACGAATTGAATATGACTTATTTAGGAAGACGTGTTTTCTCGTTTTATCCTAAACTCGATTCGTTCTCAAATTAATATTTTTTCGGCGTTATTATTTTTATTAAGAGTATGAACATAGTTCAGACTCTTATATGGGTCACGATTAATTTTTTCAGGAAAAGCCTTCAAACTTGTTCAGGCTCAAATTTAGTTTTCGCGGTTTTACTTTTGATTTCTTTAAAAGGAAAACACTTCCTTATTGAAAGGAAAGCAAGCTCCTCTATTGAACAGCAAAAGTTTAAAAGTCACGCAAAACGTAATCGACTTCCAGTTTTTTTTTCAGATTTCCCAGCGAAATGAAAAATTAAAATTAACCTATTGATCATGTTTTCTCAAATTGGCTTAGTTTTATCAAAAAAGCGTCAATCATGAATTGTTCTAGAATTTCAAAGATCTTTGAGGTCATCTATTTTGTTCCGATCATTGAAAATGGGGAGGAACTTTGTATTCGTGCGTTTTAGTTTTTTCTTCCACGCAAAATCAGGTCCACAAATGATGATTATACTTAATTGAGTGATATATCGTATTAAAACCCTTGCAGTCGTGATTCGAACCTCATCAAAAATCCAAGTGTCGAAAAAAATAGGTTCGAAATATTTGATTTTTCGTCTTATTTCGAGCGAATAAAGCAAGCGAGCAGTCTTGTTATTGCTTAAAAGCTTACAATAGCTTAATTTTAAACGTTAAAACTTAGTTTAACTTGGGTAACGTTAATTTACTTTGAGTATTTTAGTGCCTTTTCGAAATCAAAATTTTCAAAAAAACAGAAAAATTTTCGAACATTTTTTGATTTTTTTTTTCGTTTTTCTTATTTTTTCTACAAAAATTGTTTTTCAGTTTGCTTATTTTAGTATTGCTGTCCAATATACCTAAACCCCAGCTTTTTGTTCAGCTCTTTTTATCGCACGACGCCGAAAAAAAAACGACCCTAATTTGAAAAAACTTGTTGTATTTTTTAAGACTACGGTCGGAACATTCTGTGCTACTTGCACAGTTACCGGCTAGCCTTGTTTTTCTTTGAAATTTGAAAATTCAGATTTTTTTCAAAAAAAATAAGCAAGTATTTTTTGTTTCTTTGCGTTCATTGACTCTTTTCCAAATGTCTGTTCGCTATGTTTTGTTTTTAGGGGCTATCAGAGTTCATTTGCTAAATGGAACGCATATTACGCTCTCCAATAACAGAAGGGCAAATGGCGCGATAAAAAATAATGATGGCCTTTAGTTTCGTTTTTAATTATAAGCATTTCCAGCGAAATAATACCTTTTGATCCGTCTGTTTGTTCAAATTGAATTAGTTTTATGATAAGTCGTATAGTTTTTCTTCAAAACTCGAAAGCTGAGATCTTACAAAAATTCAATCTTTATTCGATTTCCTTGAGATCACAGGCGCTTTTCCAGTTGAATAGTGGCCATATTTTTTTGACAGAGCAAGCTCCCTCCAGGAAAAGTTTTACAAGGCTTTTTTTAAACCAAGAAATAAGAGCAGAAATAAGAGCAAACTATTGAAGCATTTGAGCGCGCAAAATGGGCCCGTCTTCTATTTAAGTTAATTTATTAACTTAATTATTTTTCGTTCACTGCAATCTTGCGAAGAAAATTTTGTGCATATTTTTTTCCACTCAATTGAACAGAGTATATTTGAACTTTTGACAATTTTGGAAGCCGTTTAGAAGTTCTTCTTACCAGTTTGATTGGGAGAGTCAGATGAAAGCACGGGAAGAAAACATTGAATTGCTATTCCCAGAGCTCAGTTATTCTCTATCATGGATAACAGATAGAGGCTCTTGAAGCAATTCGAAATTTTTATGTGAATTAGGTTTGAAACCTGTAATGAAAACTTGGGCTGGAAATTTGGGGGGCGAGGCCAGACTTGAGAATACTAATCAGGGATTTGCTCCTGAACAGCTTGTCAGAATGATTAATAACGGTTTATTGAATTTAACCTTGCTTACTTGAAAGTGAAAAAGACGTGCTTCTGTATTCAGTATTCAGTAAATTTTAATTAGGCGGACATTTTAATGGTATATCTGCTTGTGTAATAATATGAGACGCATTAAGAACGAAATAAAGGGCTTGCTTTTTGATCTTAACCGGTCACAATATTTTAACTAATAAGGGTATTATGTGTTACTGAAATAGATTAGACATCAAAAGGCGTATGCAAGTACCTGTTTTTGTCTAGATTAGAGAAATATTTTCGATGTTACTTTTTTAGAAGCTGAAGCTATATGGATGATGCTTTTTAGGCGAGAAGAAATTGTTTGCAGCCGATTTCGTAACGTCAGAAACTGGTACTGGATTTGTTCATATCGCACCGTCGCACGGAAGCGAAGATTTCAACCTAGCCCGGGAAAATGACATTTCTTTTCAGTCGGCAGTCGACGGCTCGGGAAAATTTAACTGTCCTGAAATATCTGAGCTGCACGGACAACTTGCCATGGGATCGGGCAACGAAGCGTGTATTAAAAAATTAGAAAATATGGGTCTGATTTTACATAAAGATAGAATAACCCATTCGTATCCTTGTGATTGGAGAACGAAAGAACCGGTTATGACTTTATTGAGCCAACAGTGGTTCATCGATGTGTCAAAAATAATTCCAGATGCAGTTGAAAGTCTGCAAAATGTGAATTTTGTTCCTGCAAATAGCAAAACTTCTTTTGTGAAGATGCTAATTGAAAGGTAAGCTTATTTATGAATCATCGATCTGTTTTTCTGTAATGACTGTTTTTTAATTCCATTTTTCCACCGGGAATGATTGACTTTTTTATTGAATTTTTTTTGTTCTAGGTATTCCAAAACTACAAAGTAAATAATTAGCAAAGGAAAGCGATTGCTTTGCAATTAGCGCAGAATGATTCAACCTCAGTTATCTTCGCTTAAAAAGTTTGAGAAAAAAAAACGAATTAAAATCTCATTTATTTTTATTTTATTTTCTTTTTTCAAAATAAAATGATTGCCCTACAGGTCATAAAACGCTTTTAAAACGCAAGGAGAACTTTCTGCTGTGCAAGATGCACAGAATGTTCCGACTAAAAGGATTTTGCATAAAGAAAATCTTGTAACGTTAAAATCCAATAAAATTAAATTGGGAATTCAGACTTAAATCAAAATTGGTCTAAGTTGGTCTGAAAACTGAAAGTATTCGGATCAGTTTTTCCTGATGCTGAGACAACTTTTTGATTGTTTGTTGGAATCCGAATCACGGCAATAGGGTTTCAATTTCACTAATTTACCTGAATTAGGACTGGAAAAAACCAGCCTACGCCTTAGCTTTGTCCCTTTTTGTGAACGATTGGATTAAAAAAATGAAATATTTATGTTGTCAAAAGATAGGAAATGCAAATAGCCCGTCCTTTAAAAGGAGACTAAATGTCGGCTCTTGAATAAATTTGCGACTAAATGTCACAAATTTCTGAGGACTTTCTCAACAGTGGGACAAACATTTGGAATTTATTAAGAGTCGATGAACGTAGTTCAGACTCTTGTGTCGCGATGATTTTTGATTTCGTTTTTTTTTTCAGGTTAAGTCTTAAAATTTATTCAGGCTCAATTTTTTTATATCGGAGTTTCACTTTCTGATTCTTTTCAGTTCAATTTTAGTTTAAAAGAAGGCAAACTCCACTATCGAACAGCAAAATTGTTAATATCACGATAAACAAGATCGACTTTCGAAAGTGGAGTTTTCTTTTCAGATTACCCAGCGAAATAAAAAAAATTTCCCGTTTTTGATCCAGTTTTTTCACTTGCGAGAGCAAGTGAATTTAATCGGGAACCAGACTGTTTTCCCATAAACAACTATTTTTACCCATTCTGCTGATCCTTTTACACATTCTCTGCATATCTTTCTTATACATCCTAATGGCTCATATAAGATAGTACTCAATTTTTAAATATAGTTATTGAAAAAATGTTGATATTATTTTGATTTGTGCTTTTCGTCCTAATTTTTGTCTCCTGATTTTCCGTATTTTTCCAAATGCAGTTAATGAGATCTGATACGCTTTTCTAGCAGATTTCTTCCAAAGCTTGGGGTTTTTTTTTGTTTCTGATTCAATCAGTTTTTACGATAATTGAAGTTCGCTGTTCTGTATTTTGTAAATTTACCTACTCTGATCTTAGATATTTTTAAAATTATCGGTTAAATGGGTTCGGCGTATTGCGAAACCTTTGATGCGTAGTTTCCAGAGCTTTTTAGATGTTTTTGACAGTGTCATTTTAGGGTATCCACCTTTTTGCAACCTAGATCGCAGATAAAGGTGCTCATTATTTGGTGGGACCTTTGTATTGTAATCTGGTTGACTTTTGCTCCATAACATTGTGTTTTTGTATCTTGATTATTGGTGGCTAATTCCGGTTTGATAAAAAACAGATAATTCGAAAATATATGGGATTTGATTTTTTATTTTTTTGAGACGCTTATTGAGTTTTTTGCACTTTTCGTAGATGTCTTGATTTTTCTCGATCTACTTAGCTGATTTGCAAAATTGTTAAAAACAGAGATATTGTTTTTTTTGTGTGCCTTGATATTCGACTTGTTGTTTTTTTACTTCACCGGGCGTTCTACGACCATCGAAAATGTCAGTGGGAGGGAATTTTTGACCTTTTTTTGGTTTATTTTCATCTTTTCAGGAAGTTCCATGACAAATGTGAGATTAAGATTTCAATCAAAAGAGTGTGTTCTAGGGATTTCCCCTGCATAAGTTTTGCTTGAAAAAAGTTGTGGCCTGCTTTGGTCGAAACCAGTTTTGGTCTTAGAATAGCCTAAAATTCGACGTTTCAACCGTTGTTTTGTAATCTTTTTCTTTTTCTAGAAAACTCCGTTTATTCTGAGTAAATGAGTATAATCTAAAGAGAAGATTGTGGATTTTTGCTGCACATATGTTGTCGCCTCAGTTTTTTAATGACAAGTAAGTGCCTTGAAAATGTACAATTTTTGAAATTGTGCTCGTTTTGTGTTGACTTTTTGGTCCACCCAATTTGTTTCGCATTATTTTGTAGCTCGGTCATTGATTTTCATTGTTTGTTAAGGTTGTTTATGAACATCATTCGAGACAAGGTATGAATATTGTGAAGCTACAGTGTTTTTGACTTTTTTAAGTAATTGTTTCAGATCGTGATGAAATGTTTTAATTGTATTGCAAGTGTTTTGAAACTCGCTTCGCCTCTTTGTATCAAATTGGGTTAGTTTTATCAATTTTTTGGAGATACATGAAAATGTGCAAAAGTTCGCCCAGCGCTATAGTTCTGTCTCACTCGCTTCAAAAGAAGTGTTCGAAAATTTTGACAAAATCGATTTTTGCTCACATTTTCAGTCGTTCATTTTTTCTCATATCAATTTTTCTTAGAGCATTTTTCTCATATCAATTCATCTGTTCTCTGGGAATTTTATATCAGGTTTTTTGGAATCTCAAGAACTACAGCTAATAATTACAAAAAAGTCGAACAGTATGTATGTATTCTCATACTAACACCCTGATTCGAGTTAAGCATATTGGCGTGTAAGACTTTTGTCTGATAAAGTTTAATCGTGTCAGAGTTATGCACTTATAACGTATAATCGTATGAAAAAGGGAGAGGTATAACAGAGAACCTGTATTTTGCCAAAGTTTATTGTTCATTATTAAATAAGAATGGCGGTTTCGGGTCCTAAATTTAAAGTGTCAGTGAACGTGGTGATGACACTTTTTGACGTTGTCTGGCATTTTAAGGAAATCAAGTTCAGTTCGCACGTTCAAGTCGAATTCACTTGCTAGAAGGAAGGAAAATTCCATTCTCCAAATAAGAAAGCGGGAATCCTGCGAAAAAAAACGTGAATGAATTTAGTTTTGTAAATGGACTTAAGTACTAAATTTTCCATCGGAATAAAAATTTGCCTATTGACCCAGTTTTCAGTATTTCGATTTTTATGGAAAAAGTATCAACCATAAAAGATTCTTGAAATATAAAATGCTTTAACGTGAGCTATTTTTTTCATCGAAGTTTGAAAGCTGAAAAATGTTTCCTCCAATTTTCTACTAGGTATATTTATTGCTTTCTTCCTTTCTTTGGGAATGTTCATTGCTTGCTTTCTTCTTTTCTACCTTAAAATTTTAGGTTTCATTTGAAATACTTTGAAATAGTTTTAATCGAAGAAGAAAAGTTCATAACAAGATTTAATAGAGTTTGCGTATAACCCATGTAATAGATGAAATGTAGTAGGGGAATTTTTTGTGTATTCGTCGTATAACGTATAAATTGATTAATATACTGTTCAATTTCTTTTTTTGTTGTTAGAAAAATTTATTGGAAAAGTGGTATCAGTTTTACACTTTTCCAATAAATTTTTCTAACAACAAAAAAAGAAATTGAACAGTATATTAATCAATTTATACGTTATACGACGAATACACAAAAAAAATTCCGCTACTACATTTCATCTATTACATGGGTTATACGCAAACTCTATTAAATTTTGTTTGGACTCCCATGTGTGTCTGCATAGTCCCCTGGAGTTTCTTTTTACTTGACCTCTCTGTCTACAGCCTTCGAACCAGCATTAACGGCCACTCACAAAATATTTTACGCAAAAAGTTATCGCCCTCCCAAAAGTCAAATTTTTGTTTTGACCGTTTTTTCAACTTTTTGAATCCTCTCGAAAACTACCCTGGCATAGCTGAGATTTTGGGTTCAATCCACAGAACGGGCTGTGGTTGGCTCATTTTCTTTATGCGACTACGACCAAATTTTTCCGACAACAAAAGTTATGGCCCTCAGAAAAATCAAAGTTTTGATTTTTTTTGACTGTTTCTTTTTTGAAAGTTTTTGACTTTTCTCGAAAACTACCCACCCAAATCTGAGGTTTTGGGTTCAATCGAAATTACAGGTTGCCAGAATCCCGAGTCCCTTATGCATAAGCGCCTACGCCCTTTTTTTCTTACAAAAAGCTATGATTCTTGGAAGTGTCAAGTGTTTGATTTGTTGACAGTTTTTGGACTTTTCTCGCTAACTATCCTGCCAAATCTGATCTAAGATTTAAAACAAAACAACAGGTTGTTTTGGCAGACCTTTTGCCAGTAAACTTTGAGAAAACTTTTTTGTGATCGTTAAAATTAATGGTCGAAAAATTGCTCAACTTGCGCAGCAACTAATTATTGTGTGATTCAAGTTTTAATTGTTTGAGGTCTCAATGGTGCATTTCAAGACAGAGAGATTGGGGCGTCCCGCTGCCAGTATTCTACGACGAAAACGACAATGTTGTCTTAAACAATGAGATCCTAAATCATTTGATAAGCGTATTTCAAGATAACGGCGTAGATTCATGGTGGAACTTTGATTCTGAACAGCTGCTTCCTGAAGTGTATCAAAAAAAGGGACTTCGAAAAGGTTAGTCGCAATACTGAATTAAGAGCTGCGTGAAAGCGAAAATCAGTCTAAAGTTTCTCAAATTTAGTTCAATTCATACGAAACTGGGATCTTCATTACATTCCTTTGGATTTCATGAGAACTTAAACGATTAATTGTTTCTCTAACATTGATAAAAGCCTTGTCTGACGTAACTACGTTTAAAAGAAGTGAATTGCTGAAATAACCTAAAATATCTCCAATATGAAAGTAAGCATTTTATTTGGTGAATTGTAGCTTATTGAAGATATCAGGTTCTAAATCCCAATTTATCAAATTTTTAACACATGCAAATGGCGCAAAAATTCGTGAACGATTTTTAGTTTCGAAAGTGGGGTTTATTTTTTTGTATTTCCAGCGGAATAAAAACTGTACATGTTGATCCTGTTTTCTCGATTTAAGATGATCTTCGTCACAAACTGCTAATGTAAAACAGCCAACCGAAGATTGGAAAAAAGTAAGAACGCAAATAAACATAAAAAACACTGACTTTGTTGAAAAAAATCTAACTTTCGAATTTCAACAAAAAAAATAGATGCACTTTAAATTTTTTAAATTTGTAGAACGTTTTATGATTGACGCTTTTTTGAGAACATAAACCCAAATCAAGAAAACAGGATCAACTTGTACAGTTTTTATTCCGCTGGGAAATCTGAAAATTAATCTCCATTTTCGAAATTAGAAGTCGATCATAAAAAAATCATCACGACCTATTCAAGAGTATTCACTGAGTTCATTGACTCTTCACAATGCTCCACTTATTGCATTAACTCCATTTTTATTGATGCAGAATTCCGTCAATTAAATTGAACATAGCCAATTGACTGTGGGAAAAGAGTAATGAACGCAGGTAAACAAAAAAAACACTGACTTTCTTGAAAAAATCTCAACTTTCGAAACTCAAAGAAAAAAATTGATGACCTTAAAGCTCTTTGAATTTCTACAACGATTTTTGATTGGTGCTTTTTTGATAGCATGAACCCAACCAGAAAAAACTGGATCAATAGGTAAAGTTTTTATTTACAAACTTTGAAGAAAAAAAATTGATTTCAGGGAAATGTCTTCAAAATTTTCAGCTCAGCGCACCTATGGCTTTGAGATGCTGTTAAAATGGTTTTAACAGCATCTCAAAGCCATAGGTGCGCTGAGCTGAAAATTTTGGAGACATTTTCCTGAAATTAAATTTTTTTTCTTCAAAGTTCGCAATTTTGAAATTTGAGATAATCAACGGGCGATATAATTTGCTCTATCAACGCGTAAACGGCTAATCCTATTTCAACTTTTACCCAATCAAAACTGCTTGATAGATACTAAAGAGAAGTCATATCACTCAGGGCTTTAACCTGATATGATTAGACTTGCTACAGTAAATGCATATAATCCGGCGCTAAATTACCATCAATGCTGTAGATATTTATACAGACTTGTGTACTTTTTATATCATCTGAAAGATATTGATATATTAAGGCCGAAATAACAGAGGTTTTACCTGTGGTCATTTTTTTGTAAATTTGCTATGGTTTGGTCATTGTCAATTTACGCTATTTTGATCCATGCGCGCTATTTATCAGTTTTCTAAGCTACGCTAGTGGTCTTACTGATGCGTAACTAGATCAGAAGCATCACTTTGTACTCTGTATATCGTTTGGTGGAGGCTTTGAAAAAATCTGATTTGTTTTTTTTTTTTCATTAGTGAAGTTTTTGATTGGTAACCTGGTTTAAGTTTCCCGTTACATTTGTCTTGGGTTTGCGAAGTGCAATTGTGCGGAGTGAGTAAAATTTGTTTCCTTGCATTTTTTTGAATTTGTCAGTGAAAGTCGTAAGTTTTTTATAAGATTTTTAGACCTTGTTCACTCCAATTAATTCTGACAAACGTTTGTTAAAGTAGATATTTTAGACTATCTGTTTTCTGTTTGCTAAATGCTCTTGTTGTTTTTTTCAAAACGTTTTTGGTCGCCGGAGTTTATTGCGGATAGAATGCATTCAGCCACAGTAAAAAGCAAAAATAATTAGGGCTCTGTAAATTTTGATACTCGATTTTTTTGCAGGGTCTGATATTTTGGATGTGTGGTTTGACTCTGGATCTAGCTGGCAAACAGTTTTGGGTAGCGATGAGACTGTGGCAAATCCAAAGAAAGTGTTCTATGTCGAAGGTCGAGACCAGTATCGTGGCTGGTTTCAGAGCTCGCTTCTCACTTGCTTCGCCATTAAACGACAGGCTCCTTTCACACATTTGTACGCTCATGGATTTGTGCTAGATCAAAGTCAGAACAAGGTAGTCCTAGCTGATTTATCTATTCGCTTTTTCTGTAATTAGTTCTCTGACAACAATTCTCAGATTGCCAGAAAAAATACACACTTCTGCAAATTGCTTATTTGAAAAACTTCTGATTGAAAAAAGTCTATGAAAGTTTATCGAAGTTTCTTTGCTGAGTCTTCTGAATGGTTTGACAATCTTTACTTGTTCTAATTCTTAAATCGGTTTCTGTCTTTCAGATGTCAAAGAGTGTAGGAAATGTGGTTGATCCTAAAGCAGTCGTAGCTAAATACGGAGCTGACACTCTTAGATTATGGGTAGCTCTTGCAGACACGACTGACGACATAGCGTACAGCGAGCGCATTATGGAAAAAACCGCAACAGCTTACCAAAAATTCAGACTAATTTTACGTGTCTTAAGTGGAAACTTGTACGATTTCAACTCTGAAAATTCTTTATCTTGGCACAAAATGAAACCAATCGACCAATACATAATTGTAAAATGTAATGATAATGTGAAGAAGTATCACGAAGAAATGAACCAACTATCGTTTCACACTGCTGTTCACGGATTACTCAATTTTGCTCACGATGACGTATCGACGTTCTATCTTTCATCTATCAAAGACAGATTGTATTGTGATCACGCCAGTTCTCAAACTAGGCGAAGTGCGCAATCGGCTTTGCTGCATGTTTTTAAGAAGCTGCATAGCAGTTTGGAACCTTTTGTGCCCTATCTTTGCCATGAAATTTGCCAAGGGTTTCTTTTTAGTGAAGATGATTTATATAGCGATAATTCGCGCGATTTCAAATCAGATTATCTGGAAATTTTTGAGCTTTTGAAAAGTGTAAGAAGTGAAGTATTGACCGAAGTAGGAAATGATCTCAAGGTGCTAGAAAAATGCGACATTTGTTTTTATTATCTTAACACTAATGTGCTTAGTCCCTTGTTATCAGAAGCATGCGTGCGTGAAATCATTGGCTGTAGAACAGCTAAGTTTAGAACTGGTGCTCATTTTCAGCCATCCAATATTGTTGAAGTTTCGGAGATTTGTGCGAATAGTTTAAAAATAGGTTATGATGTCAATGAAACTTTTGAAAAATGTCCTCGGTGCAGATTATTTTTGTCTGATGCAATCGATCAGTTGTGTAGGCGTTGCAGCGAAGTTGTACATAAATAAATATAAATATCAAATTGACGACAGGTTTCATTTAAAAGTTTGCCGTCAGTTTTGAGAGTTTACTTGCCGTTGAGTTACAGAATATGGTCAACAGTGTTCGTTCCCTAACTTGTAAGAAAAATTAACACCACCAGTTTTACCGCTACGAATTGTTAGTTAATACGTACATGAACAACTTTTAGCTTTATTTGCATTTCAGTTCAATGATCTTAAAAAATATAAGACTTTTTTGTAATAGGTCGTGTTGATTTTTTTCAGGAACATTCTTAAAATTTGTTCCTCCTATTTTATCGTTTGGAGGTCGAATCTGAATTTGTAGCGAGTATGTAACTGATATGTAGCGAAAAAAACGTGAACGAGTGGAAGGCCTGGGAACAGCAGGTATGTTCGTTTCAGCTTCTAGTTTCGAAAGAAGATGTTAAATTTCAGATTTTCATGCTGAATAAAAATATCACTTATTGATCCATTTTCTGAAATTGGGTTAATTTGATCCACTTTTCTCATTGGGTTGAGTCCTTAAACCTTTAAGAGCATGAACTTTGTAATTTTTTTTGGGAACAATGGCATATTTCCAACGGTCTGTTGGCTATGTTTTTTGTTTGCCCTTGGCGCGCAACTGAAGCGGTGTCATCCATTTCGCCGAGGCCATTCTGTTATGAAGAGATGGATTACATTGGAACCCTTCGACCGCGTTCGATTCGAAAACTGTAGGTTTCGAAAAATGCCCTGTTATTGTTGCGACAATATAGAGTAGGAGCTTTGAAGTCCTTTATTTTTTTCGTATAAGGTCAGGAACTTCGGATACGAGCCTTCTATTTTTTTTTACCTTACGTATTTTTTCTAACCTTACTCGCAAATACACTTATTTGGAAATTCCGCTGTAGCATTGGAAATTGCGTAGCATCTGTTGTGCGCTTTTTTTGACTTGTGTTTGGTGCCTGTTAAGCTTCCGTGACTGATTATTTAGTGTATGAGACTCTTAATCGCTAGGTCATAGGTTAGAATCTCGAAGGTTGCCGAATTTTTACTAATTCGAAGCTTATCTAATTTTTATTATTGCACTTTTTAGAGCTGCTTTTTTGTGTTTTCGAAAGTATTTGCGGAGCGAAGCATGGCCTGTGTTCTAATTTCAACTTCAATCACAAAAATAGACAAGAGGTTTGATTTGTTTATTTTTAAAACTTGGTTTTTTCCCAACTTTCTTTAATGAGTGTTAATGAACCAAATTATTTTTCGTTAATTAGAAAAACGTCTGACAAGTGATGAAATTTTATGACTTGCAATTGGGCTTAATGGGTGGTAGATCAACTACTGATGCCGTTTTTCTTATTAGACAATTCAAGTACTGCTTGTGGAAAAGAAAAACCCCCTGCATCGCATATTTTTTGATCGGTGTTCCTTCGACGGTGTTCCCAGGGAACTGATCCCATGGGCTTTGAGACAACAGAGAGTTCCCGAAAATCTGCTACCACTAATTATGTGCCTGTACACCGAATCGAAAGCCAGAATTAACAGATCCCAAGGATGCGGTGATTACTTCAAAATTAAAGTAGGCCTGCATCAAGGATCGGCACCTCGCCCATTGTTATTTATAATAGTAATTGAAGAGGTTATAATAAACTGTCTTTCCTTGGTACCATGGGATATGCTATATGCAGATGACCTTGTGATATCCCCTGAAATGGAGTCCCAATCTAGTGAGAAGCTTAATACTTGGAACGGGGCTTTGCAAAAACGCGGTTTAAAAATCAACGTGGATAAGACAAAGAATTTGATTTCAGGCCAAAAGTCTATTACTCAAAAAACCGGAAAATATCCATGCGCTTGTTGTTTGAAGGGAGTCGGCGGCATTTCATTACGCTGCAATTCTTGCAATCAATGGGTGCATAAGAAGTGCAGTAGCCTGAGGAAGATACCTAAACATAATATTAATTATGTTTGTGCAAGCTGCAAAAAATCCTTCCAACTATCGCTCAAATCAGAATGCTACTCTACGGATTAATCAATTTGAAAGCGTGAGTAATGTGAAAGATTTCTGCTGTCTGGGTGATTTGATTTCCATTGAAAGTGACGCAATACGTGCATCATTGGTCAAAATAACAGCTTTCTGGGCGAAATGGCTGCAAATTGCGCCTCTGCTGCTGAATAAAGATATTGACTTGATCAAATGGTATCGTATCTACTTAGCTTGTTTCCGGTAAGTTCTGACGCACTGCTCTGAAACCTCGGCGCAGATCAACGCAATATCCAGCTCTCTTAGGATTACAGGAATCGTTTATAAAGACTGAGTTACCAACGAAGCAGTAGTTAAAATGACTGGTCTTGTTGATCTGGACAAGCTACAAGTGCGGGCGAGGCTACAATGGTATAGCCATGTTCACCGAAGAGAAAATGACCATGTGCTAGATCAACAGACTATGTGTTAGTCCTAGGGAAAAATCAGCAGGAAGGCCTAAAAAAGCTGGATCGATTGTGTTAAGCAATACCTGAAATGAGTGTTAACCCACAGACGGCCTTGATCGAATGACATGGAAAATATATTATCCTCCATTTAATTGCTCGAATGCTATTAAGAATGCTCTGATCTGAACCATTGCTTGCGCGCTTTCATTATGCCATTTTGAGATCAGTGAATTTTTCCTACAAAGTTAACCATGTTTTGGTTTATACATACGAAGTTCCAGCTGGTAACTTTGCTCATTTGATACAGCTGATTTCCATTCTTCGGACGCCAAAGTTCCGTGTTGCGAATGCGGCCAGGACCCGTGCTTTTGGCAGATAGAATCTTTTCGGCTTCAAAAGCTTTAATTGTCTGAATATAGTTTGTCTGTTTTTTTTACTAGTGGGCTTGCTTGTTACTATCTTTTACTATAATTAAAATGCATTTTGATATACTCTAATGTTGCAGGAATTTCGGTATTAGGAAATTCGCAGGGATTTTTCGTACGATTTCAGAAGTTTGTCTAAAAGTTTGTTTTTCAATCTGTCTTTTCATGGTTGTTTTTTTTCTCATGAAGGTAGCAACGACTTCAAATTAAAAGATTTGAGTTTATCTAGATTGTGATTTTATGGAATTGCAAAAGTTGGAAAAAATCCAAGTTTTTTTTCGCATTTGATTTCTGCCCCTTGCTTAGTTTGTCAAATGGGCGATTTTTACTTTTAAATATAGCTTTTGCCAGTGCGATCAAGGTAGTGCAACCGGACACTAGATTTTTTTTTCGTAAATAATTTTGTTCACAGAAGGTCAAATATTAGGAATGGCAAACATGCTCAACTTCTTGAAAATTAAAAAAAAACTACCATCACTTAAGTTAAGTAGTAATTAGGTGCAGTTCCTTTCAGGCATTAATTGTTTTTTTTTTCAAATACATTTATTGAAAAAGTTGAATTTTTCGGATTCTTGGTTTTTGTCCTAGTTTCTGTCGTTTAACTTCCCGTTTTTTTTTTGAATGACTTTTATGGTTTCATTTCCAAAATATGAGTTTCATTTTGATTTAAATAAATTTTACTGCAATTGAAAGATTTTTAATGTGTAAATTTACCAAGTTTGATTTTGGACAAGTTTGATTTTGCTCGCTATCGTTGCAAAACAGATATTGATCGTGTTGTAAACTTTGTGGTGCTGATCATTGGTTGTTGTCTTTGAGTGAGGGCCCACAATAGTGAGGTCCTGTGCTGCTGAAGGTGAGAAGTATTCTAGGATTCTTTTGCCCGTTTTTCTTATGTTCGCAGAAAACCGTGAATTGCTTGTTTTGTCAAAGCGAGGCCTCCTTGAAAGACTATGAAGATGGTTGTTCTTTGAATGAATGTTTTGTCCCGGTTAGTTCAAATGCTGCTGCGGAACCAAGCTGTTTAGAACGTTGAGACACAGCAGAAAAAGTCCCATTTCAGTGAATTCGAATCAGTTTTTGGTGCATTTTGACATTTTTCACTTTTCTCCCGATTTTTCCGTTTTCTCTTGCGAGGTTTTGCTTTCCCAACTTGAAGGCATCAGGGATTGCTGCTATACAAATGTTCCAATTTTATGTTTGACATATTTCCGTGCAATCACCTTCAAATGTCCCATTAATTACCAGATTACATATCTGCACCTTAACGAGTTTTTAACGCAGTCTCGCTAGCAGGTTTCATGCTTGTGTCCATAAAAAGACCCAAACCTGCTTTGTTAGTCAGTTTTGTTCTGTGCCTTTACCAGCATCCAATTCTGTTATCCAGCCTTGTATACCGTTATCTGATCCTGGTTCACTGAGTCTTTTTCTGTATCTTCTAGTCCCAAAACAACGCAAGAAAAATTAAATGCCTGTTTTTTAGGGAGGCTCACAAACTTTTTTTGAGAATATTTTTGTTTTGGCTTAACGAGCGTCTGCTAAAAAGATTTTAGGCTTCGGTACCGCTTCATTAGCTTTGATTCGATGCTAATTTAACACTAGCAATTCCTTAATGTGGAACGGTTTTCTTAAAATTTACTTCAATCAAGGCATATTGAAACTAACGTCTACATCTCTTGGTACTTTTTCGAGTTTTTGAATTTCTGGTTTTTTGGTCGCTTAATGGGGTCTAATGCACAAAACGGCCCAAAATCAAAATTTTTATATCTTTTTAGCTAAAATTAATGCGCCAGAATTTGATTGGCAAATATTAGCCAATCAAATTCAAGCAACCTGGTCAGGCAAGTCAGTCAACCGTTCCAGCAGAAAAATTACGAACTGGTACAGCTTTCTGATAGTCACGGGATAGTCTAATCAGTGAGCGACAAGAGTTTTGACTTCCAAATAATTGTAGGATGTTACATGTTTTTTCGAGCTTCGGAAAATGAATTTTCAAAAAGTTTTTTGCTTTCTTGTTTACACATTTTTTCTAACCCATTATGCCATTTTGAGATCAGTGAATTTTTCCTACAAAGTTAACCATGTTTTGGTTTATACATACGAAGTTCCAGCTGGTAACTTTGCTCATTTGATACACCTGATTTCCATTCTTCGGACGCCAAAGTTCCGTGTTGCGAATGCGGCCAGGACCCGTGCTTTTGGCAGATAGAATCTTTTCGGCTTCAAAAGCTTTAATTGTCTGAATATAGTTTGTCTGTTTTTTTTACTAGTGGGCTTGCTTGTTACTATCTTTTACTATAAT